TCCCCAGAGCTTCGGAAAGTCCCGGGTCATCTTTTCCAAAAGTCGTTCTGCCTTGGAGAGGAAATTGCGTATCACTCGGTTTATTGATCTTGATTACCCGCAGGATTGATGCAGTACCATTGGATTCATTTTCAATAAGATCCTTGGTAGGTACAACCATGAATTCTTTTCTCCACATGAATTCGGGGTGAATGGCATAGCCAAGGAATAAACCAGGGCTCGATGTTGGGTCGAAACGGAGCCCATCCTTGTTCTTCTTTCTTGGTCCATTCCAATAGTCGACAAGACAACCAAAAGGAATGAGGGGACCGTCAAATCTCGATCCAAAACGTAATTCCCATGGTGATTTGTCTCCCCCCGTTGCAATGACATTCTGCATGAAGCACCAATGTCGGGCAGCATGCGGCCAGTGCCAATGATTCAGTCCTGCTTGGAGCAGATTGACACGAGTGCCTTCAAGAACTGACCGAACCGCTCTCTCGGCTTGGGCGTTGGACTTGGATATGTAGTCCCTACTTAAGACATGACGGCACTGAAGGATCTTCATTGCTGAGATCAACTCGGGTGCATTGTCACTGTAGAAAACTCCTATTTTATCTTCATGTCCAACAAAATGTTTAATTGCCAAGATAGCAGCATTGGTGGTTCGTCTGGCATTGGGGTAGACATAAATAAATCCTGTTGCTATGTCCTTCACTACGAGTGCACTTTTCTCTTCATCGATCCCCAACTCATCTTCATCTCTGGTGACAATAAAATCAGCAGTGATGTGGTCACCAAATTTCTCAGCTTTAACTTTGGTTGATCCGCCTACAGCTCTTGAGGGTGGCTTGAACATCTTAGCTCTGGTGCATATGTCACAAAAAGGGTTCTTAGGGATGTGAGTCAGCATATGTCGAATAGACTTTGCTTCTTCTTTCAAATCTTTCTCCCCTAGTGACCTTTTGTGAGCGCCATCATCATGGACGTTACTACTGCTACCCTTGGATCCTTCCACAGGCGGCTCAACCTCCCGGTCGGCATCAGGAACATCAACCTCCTCAGCCTCCAAGGGCTGGGGCTCCGGTAAGTCAACATTAATACCCATGGGGTCATCACCAATGATTTCAATGTCCCCATCGGGCTCCGGAGATTGTCGAGCTTCATCTGATGCCGGGGTGGCAATGCTTGGTCTAGGCTGAGTTGATGGAGTAGAAATCGTCTTTGAATTGTTTGCAAAGTAGGGTACGTAATCTCTGACAACTAACTCAATGCGTTCCCCATTTGGTTTGACCATGTACGGAGGTTCACCTTTGGAGCCTCTCCATATGAAGTCGTAACCATCATCAATGCATCTCATCCCGACTGAAATGACAGGAGGTGAGCTTTGAACAAGATATGGGTCAATGGTCTTGCCTAACTTTGGAACAAATACTTTTCCTTGTTTCGATGACGAACTTTCACCATTGGCAGTAATCATGCGAATGGGATTGTTGGAGTAGTATCCATAGTCATCTGGCAATTCGCTATCATTGACAAGATCTTGAGCACTCCCCGTATCTGCAATCCAGTCAAGTTCGAGGTTGATCGCTCCCTTCACGTCTTCTCTACATTCCGCAGGGGTGGCTTTGATTCCCTTTGGGATACATTCATTGCAACCAAAATCTGTGTCACATAAATAGGCACATTTGCATTCTATTCCCCGAAGACAATTGGAAACAGATCCTGCCAACATGGTACCGGTCAAAGCGGCATCATTCACAGCAAGTTGATCAACTTCAAACTGATGTCCCCATGGAAAGGTAACCTTATCCTTGGTGACTGCGTTTCCAATTGGCCTCAAGTTCCCTCGGACTTTAACATGAGATACGTCCGGCGAATCATCAAAACGAATCGATGGACAAAATACTCTTGGTTGAGGGATACAAAATGCCTGAGACACGGATGCAAGCATGGATGCAACAAGACAAACTGCGGCAGGAGACGGCTTAGATGAACTGGCCCCGGATCCTTTAGACTTCGGGGACTTCGGGCTCTTGGGGCTCTTAGAGCGGCTAGAGCTTCGGGATCCCTTCCTTTTCGGGTTCTTGGGATTCTTCTTTTTATTTTTGTTTTCGCTACTGGCCGAACGGGCAGGAGTAGCTTGTCTTGGTTTTCCCACTGAACCCTCATGAAGGAATTTGCAATCAGCTCCTCTATCGCAACGTCCCTGTTTCCAAAATTTGCAAATCTTCTTACCTTTCCCCTTTGGTCTGGGAGAACCAGAACGTTCATTTGAGCGACCTCTGGTTTTGCTGGGTTTGCGACTTCTATCACGTGGCTTGGGGACTTCATGCTTGTAAGTACAGTTGTCCTTGCTACAGCCTCCCTTATTCCATGCCACACAATACCCCTTGGGGATGAATCCTGTCTTGCCCTCGACTGCGGGAGCGGAGGGACGACCGGAACCCGAAAGACCTTTGGCAACTCGATCACGATTTGCCTCCAACCTCTCACGGTCAAGGTGGCGTCGCACGGCAGAAACAAGAAAACTGTAGTTCCGTTTTTCGGTTCCTTCATCAGCTCTATGATACTCATTCATGTCATGTTGGATGGCCTTACAATTCTTCACTTGTTTGTAGAAGAGTGTTTCCAATACACTTTCGTCAGGAGCCTGGACAATACCAGCCAACACTTGATCCCAGTTTGAAATGAAAGACTTCAAATTCTCCCCACGCAATTGGACACTGAACAAATCTTGAAGGGCATAGGTTGCTCCGTGCTTGATGTTTGTACTGAAGTGGTCATGCAACATGAACAACACTTGTCTCCCTCTTACAATTCGTCCAGCGGTGGCTTCAGTCTCTTTGAAGGTATCAACCTTGCGGGCGAAGTCACCAGTGATAATATTGGTGAGTGCAGAAAGTAACTTTGCATCAAGTGTCGCAAACGGCGCAACCTTCCGGAGCGCTTCAAGGGTCTGTTCTTCTTTCCAAGAATCACTAATCCACTTGAAAGCACTATCGGGATCGGTTGATGCTGCTACAACTGCTTCTCTGGTCTTAATTCTCCAATTGCGATAGGTTTCTGCCAATGGGAATGCTGGAATCTTGATGGTGTCAGCTTCCTTGACTTTGGGTTTATCGTCATGCCTTTGGTCAACGTAACCACCAAGAAATTTGATCATTCTTCGCCTGAACTTTTCATCATCGTCATCATCGGGATCATCATAACCGTCATCACCACCGTCGGGGGGGTTTGGATCATTCCTTTTCTTTTTGGGAATCTTACGACCCTTATTTCCCTCCGGCTTGTCATCAGGTGGTGAGGGTGGTCCACCTCCCCCGTTCCCTCCGTTGCCATCTCCTCCATCCCCAGGATCGTCACCATCTGGCAGATCGTCTTCCCCCGGCTCGAAGTAGTCCACTTCATCTGGGCCTAGCTCGGTCGGGGCATATTGATTTGTCGGCGCAGGGGAATTGACGTTATCCATGGGATGGTTATCTCGGCGTCGATTATTGGCCTCTCCTCCCGAAAGGCGTTCCTCAGCGGAAGACCTTGCAACATCCGACTCCTTCTTCACTTGAACTGGGACTCGATATGATGGATCATGATAAATAATCTCAATACCATCCTTTTCATAAGTTTCAGTACCAGGTGAAGTAAAGCTAATCGGTGCTCTTGGAATAGGAGGTCGGGCAACACTCGTCGGAGGCGCTGTAGGTGCAGCTTTGCGGGTTGGTGGAACAAACTCAAAATTTGGGACCTCCGTTGGTGCATGAGTTCCGGCTGTGATGGTCATGGCGGCAGTTTCAACAATCGGACTTGGACGGACCTGAGCAAATTGGGAATCGAGCATACTTTGCAGTTTCAGATTGTGTTGCATCTGGGCTTGTACCATGTGTTCAAGCTGGGTAATGCGCTCATTCTGAACCCTTCTCTCTTCCTCAGCTGCTCTTCTCAACTCAAGGATCTCTTGCTCCTTACTTGATAGTGATTGTCGATGGTTAGCATCAATGACACGTTGATATGCCTGAATTTTCTCATTCATCTGAGCCTCACGGAACCTTACATGTTCATGCGCCTCATGCTGTAAGTTCTCTTTATATTGAGCACCTGCATTTAAAAGTTCTTGTTCTTTGATTCTGATAGCATCAAGGGCCCTCTGACTTTCAATGCCCTCGCGGACTCGCAGAGCTTCCTTCAACTCCTCAGTCTTGGCTGTGTGGACGGCTTCGGCCTGAGCTTCGGTGTGAGCCAACACCTCACGATGACGGAGCTCGGCCGCTGTTTCCACAAGGCTTGTCATTGCAGGATCATGTGAATGTACATGCAAGTTCTGCTCGACGAAATTGACTTGAGGATTATCCATCTGCACATTGTGATGGAATGTATTGTGAACGTTCATTTGGTTCAACTGGCGAGTCGGCGGCCCACCCTCCCGAGCGGCTTGGGGAACACAACCACGGTGGTTGAAACCCACATGGGAAGGCACAATTGCGTTACCCATGGGTGGGAAGTGGCGGCGTTCCCTTAGGCTTCGTGACTTATCGGAAGATGGTGGGGTGCTTATATCAAAATTAAATGGGGTGTTACTTATAGGCAAGTTACCGGGGTTGGCCATGGCGGCGTCAGAGGACATGCGCCCGGTGCCCTCGGTGGAAGAACCCGAGGGGGCAGACATTGCCTACAAAAGAGAAGTTAGCTTACGGCTGATAACCTGTTTTACAGGTCACCTAGCCAAAAGTAACCAACACTAGCGCGCTTGTTTCTTGAGCCATGCACAACGAGTATATCCAGTGAAACCCAATAAAAACATATATATCATGTATATATATATATATCATGTATATATCATGTATATATCATGTATATATCATGTATATATCATTTATATATCATTTATATATCATTTATATATCATTTATATATCATGTATATATCATGTATATCTGACTTACATAGATTTATATATATATATATACATACACCCCATTTCTTTCCAGAAATTCCCAAGCCCGTGGCCCCTCGGTCCCTCAAGCCTCACGGTCTTCCTGGTGTGTTTGGAGTCCGAAAGCCGTGACGCGCGCACCGCCATCTCACCTGGTTGAAATCCCGAAATTCAAATTCTGGAAGAAAATCCTGTTGGAAAAAAAAAAAAAAATGGTGATTTCAATAAAATCTGGGTATCCTTCGAATTCAATCAATGCGATTTCACCCCAGGATCTTCCTTTTGTACCATGGGACAGTGAGGATCCTGTCTCATATGCCTGGTTGAAGTTGGGTCGCAACTTAACAAAGTAGGATACCAAAGACAAACAACACTAGGATGATCATCCTGCGTGTGCTGCCAAGGCATCATACTTTTCAACAGCAGATTGTATATTAGTGGAACTACCAACCCACGGTGGTTGAGTCACTTGTCCCAAACATATAAGCCAGTTGGGGATCATGTTGGTTGTAACCCCTCAAAGCGTCCCCTCAGTTTTCACCCGAGTTCCCAGGTTTTCTCCCAGTGCCGGTTGCATCTCCAAGTGCCAAAAATACACCCTACAGCCCTACACATCAAAAATATTTTAAAAAAAAACGCTAAGACGGAAGGTACCTCCCATCAGAATCCATAAAAATGGTTGGTTGATGTTGCTGATATACTGCCTTTTTTGTTGGTTGCTGACCATTGGACCATCCCATATGAGGCCCGGACCCCCACTGCTCTTGCGCCTGCCAGAGGGACCTGAACTGGTGAGCATCGAGCTGGATGCATCAGTGGAAGTGATGACCAAAAATGAGTGGAACCAGGGTCAAATGAAGTTGTAAGCCTTACTCATGACAAGAAAGTCCATTGTTGTAGGATCCACGAACCGCACAACGTGGGATTGTGATGCAGAAGAGTAAAGCCAGACCCCTACTGAGCTGGGGAAGTGTCGCTTTCAGCACCTGAAAGTTGTTGCTGAATGGGTAATCCATGCAGCCACAAGGTGTCAACAGTCTGTGTCTCTCAATGGGTGGCCCCATTTCGACCATGGGATGATTAACTATGACTACTTAACTATAACTATGACCATTAACCATGGATGATTTAACCATTGATGTTGTTTGTAGCTGGGCCCTGTTGATGAATTAACCATTTGAAGTTGATGATTTAACCAAATCACTGGGCACTGGGAACAGTAGCTGATGCCATTTTCAGGTCCTGGCTGACAACCATGCCGCCTTTGCTGCCCAAGCCTCAAGCTGGGGCTTGGGCAGAGATGCCCGAAAGAAAAGGATCAATAGATTGGTTTAAGGGAAAATCTACAGGAAACCATGGTTTTTACCATCAAATTGATCGGGCTTTCCTGTAAATTTTCCCATTATCCAATTCTATGAAAGGATCAGCTTGAGGACGTGCTATGAAAAAAATTCTTGGGCGTACCGATGTCGATATCCCGATGCCTTACAGCCATGGGAAATTATGCAAATCTGTCCGTGCTGTTGGGCGACTTCGTTTTCACCTGGCCAAGTTTTTATCACCCAAAAAAACTGCCTATGAACTTGCTCATTTGGTGGTTGTTATTGGTTTTACTCGGGTTTATGATGATACCTGCATCTTTTTTTGGGAGGTTCGTAAAATGGTGCTATCCCCAAAAACCATGGGTTTCAATCATCAAATGCTCCAATTTGGGATGTTTTGGTAACTTACCGCCGTTTCAGGACACCTGCGTGAATTTCCTAACAATCCATGGCTTCTCTGGCTGGTGGAGCCAAGTCACCCCACTGAAAAATCTACGCGAAAGTTGTTGGGGATCATCATGCAATGACTCTACGCTTGGAAATCCAAAGGAATGAAACCACCAACCAGATCATCATTGGCTATATGGGTGTGTCTGAAAATGTTGTGTACCCCATTGTGCCCACTGGTTTTGCTGATCATTGTCCCGTTTTTAAATGGCTATTTCATTGGGAATATAACCCAACATTTTCAGACAAACCCATATACCCTCTGGTAATCAAACGTGGTTTGCTGGAAAGTCCTTCATTTATAGTTGATTTTCCTCTTCAACCCTCCATTTAGTTCAGAGATTTTTTCAGCCAGCCACGTTTGATGACACTGGAGGGAACTCTAATTGTTAGTTCTATATCCAATGATATAATATAGCCATTAAAATCATTGAATCCCCATCAAATATCCATAAAAGATTCCCTCAATCCCACTGAAATGTCCCTATGATATCCCCATCAAATCTCCATCAAAAGCACCATTGAAACCACATAAAAATCGTCATTGGCTACCCATTAATTACCCCGAGCAACGGGGAGTCTCGTCCTCTTCGCCTGGCAGGGGTGCCAACCAGAACGGAGGTCTACAAATATGTGTATATATATACATATATATGTATTGAGTATAGTATATATAAATATACTGTACCCTCTGGTAATTTAACATAGCTATTGAAAATGGCCATTTATAGTGGATTTACCCATTAAACATGGTGATTTTCCATAGTTACGTTAAATTACCAGAGGGTAGATAGTGTGTATGTATTATCATATGCGTATATAATCCCCCTCGTAATATCCCTGATAGAATTCAGCAACCCAGGTGCAATTTTTCGGATCATTGTATAAGACTCCCTGCCTGAAAAAATCAGGACCAATTTTGGTGGTTTCCTTATGTAGTGTGAAAAGTCAAAATGTACGACTTCCATTTCATAAGGGTGCCTTTTATTTTTATTTTTTGGGGAATTATGAAATGACTAATCCTTGTTCATCGAAAGAAGCTCAACCCCGGGTCACCTTATTACTATTTTCTTTTGATCTGTTTTATTGTTATAAAATGATGGTCCATCCTTCAACTGTTTACATTGGGATGGTATGCATCATTTCATGGTTTTGGACGTGCCAACTGTTCTTATGAAATGACCAAAATGTGTCTCTGGTATGCTCGGGTTATAAAATGATGTCCACATGTCGTGGGACCCGGGGCCCTTTGATTTGTAAGGTTTTTGTTGGTCCTACCATCTGGTTATTTAACATCGCCATGGAAAATCCCCGAACGAAATGGAGGTATTAATGATGGGAAAATCATCTATTTCTATGGGCAATGGCTTCCATGGCACCAGAGGGTACACAAAAATATATAGACTTACAACAACACGGGCTTTGAACCTAGGGGCGGAAAACATTGGCACCAGAAAAAAAAAACAAAAAACTTTTTTTCTAAAAGAAATCAAAAGGATCTCACATTTTATAACTCTTGGAATTCTAATTTTATAAAAGTGGCACTGTTTAATTGACATTTCATAAGCCTGGTTGTCATTTTATAAGGGGCTTCCTTATAAAATGGCACCCCCCCGGTTCCAGGTAATATTACGAGGGGGATTGTATACATATATATATATATATATGTTTATATTAGATATATATATATATTATTATATATAGCAATAGCCAACGGCCTATGTGGTGAACATGCAATGCTGCGATCTAGAAGGCCATCCAAAAAGCAATGAATATCAAGGCAATTTGGGATGATTTCCCGCAATCTATTCATGGGAGAACAGTGAGGTCGTTATAATTTACCCATGATATGTATATTATAATATGATTAATATGTATATATATATATGTATTATTTTATCATATATATATATAGTGTTACATATATATATATTCCTTACATATATGTATATATGTATATATTAATTTGTATATGTATATGTATATATATATTACTTTGTATGTATATATGTATATATATATTACTTTGTGTATATATATATATACATATATATATATGCCATATCATTGTTTGCATTGACATATGAATGTTCCCCAATTTCACACCGGTGCTGTTTCTCAAAGAAACCGTGGAAGTTTCTCAAGGAAAGATGTGGATATGGAAATCGTTGGATTGATGGCCATTGATGTGAAATGATGGCCATTGACATCAATATCATCAATATTACATATCTATATATATATAGTATATATATCATATAGTATATATATATATCATATAGTATATATATATATATATCATATAGTATATATATATATTAACATATAATATTAACATTAATATATCTATTTACATATGTATATGTTAATATTATACCCTTTTTTGTCTCTATATCAATATATAATATCTTATAGGATATCAATATTATATCTATGACATATATAGGTGTTAATATATAATCATTATCCTATCTGTATATATTAACATATTATTAACATATAATATCATCAATATTGAAAGATGGCCATTGCCATTGATTGGATATGATTTTAACCATTGGAAAGGGATCAAAAAATCGGCCTCCAGTGCTCACTTCGGCCTCAGAGCGTCGGAGCATCAATGTTGACCAAAGGAGTTGATCATCCAATGTTTTTACCCGGCCTGGTAAACTAATGGGATTTTAATAGGATTTTAATGGGATTTTAATGGGATTTTAATGGGATTTTAATGGGATTTTATGGTGGTTTAATGTGGTTTAATGGGATTGAATATGATATAGCCTCTGGTAAACTAAGATAACTATGGAACATGGCCATAGAAATGGTGGATAAAAACCCATTGAAAATGGTGGATCTTTCCATAGTTACGTAAACTGTAAACGTTTACCAGGCCGGGTATCTTTATTTTGTTCGATGTTCATCCAAATGGTAAAGCAAGTTCTGGGAACTCTACTTAATGTTTGGATTTCATGCTGTCTCAATATATTTGAACGCCTAACTCTTTGCACAATGACAACACGTGTATTTTTAACCATCCGAATTCTATGGCGTCCCGAAACAACTCCGAAACATATGTCTTTGACGAATGAAGGAGCAGGATGATAAAGCTCAATCAGATTTGGAGCTATGTCTTCAACCATTTCACATAATCTCTCGTTTTCATCAGCTCGGTACCAGATCAGCTCCCTGCAGGTTTATCTTGCTGGAGACTACATCTTGTTGGTCACTTGGGTTTGTCTGAAAATAGGGTATATTCCCAATTATAGCCATTTAATAGGGATTATGATCATTAACCATTGGGTTTAGGGGTACACTATTTTCAGACACACCCACTTAGATTCTTTGAGACTCCCGAGGCAGGTTGCTGATCCCCTGACTGTCTGAGACTGTCTAAGACTTGCTGGGACACTCTTTGTGCATAGCAACCCAGCAACCCTTCGCAACCGGCGCAACGGCACCAGCATCTGGGGGCCGTGGCGGTTCGGTAAATCCCAATGGCCAGGAGCTTCTCCTGGCTGGATGCGAGGGATCACGAAGCGGTGGTTCGATGTTTCAAGTGGCCCAGTGGCCTAGTTGATTTACCCTCTGGTAGTTTAACATAGCTATTGAAAATGGCCATTTATAGTGGATTTTCCCATTAAAAATTGTGATTTTCCATAGTTATGTTAGTTTACCAGAGGGTACCTACTAAGAGGGCTGATTGTCCATGGGTTTTTTCGATGTTTACCCGGCCGGGTAGCCTCCTGTAATCAGTTCCATGGGTTGCTGCGAAATCCACCATTTACACCATGGATTTTCCAATCTCAACCTCCATCAATATATTGGGGGCAAAATTGACTCGCCATGGATTAGCAAACTTTGTTTGCCCTAATCCAATTGATGAATTTTACTCCAAACCCAAAGCTATGGCTTGATTTTGCTTGAGTTCGGGTGCAGACCTCATGTTCGGGCAAACCCTGACACGTCCCTTTTGTGTTGTTTAAACTCCCAAAATTTTGCTGCTTTGATCCCCTGTCTTGTTGACATTGTTTGACGTTGTTCATAAATCCTAATGTTTGTTGATGAAATGTCCATGTTTTTTTTCTGACATCCCTCTCTGTTTGGGGGCAAAATCACATTTTTTCTTGGCACAAATCATATTTCTACCAGCTATACCATCGACTTTAATCCAAGAATTGCCAAGTGACAAATACTTGTATATATATATATATATACATAATTAAAAAGTGCGTATGTGCATAAATATGTACATGAATTTGAATATGTACAGGTACAGGTGTAATATGTCTCTGTATCTGTATCTACATACATATCACATATATGTAATGTATATTATGCGTATAAACATTTAGGTGTTTGCTGATCTCTCAAAAAGATAGTGAATGCCTACATAAAGTATCGAATCACCTGCAGCATAGGGAAAGGATTCTTGAAAGCAAAACATGAGCAATCTCATCGTTTTGTGGAGAGTGTATTATAAAATTCCAAGCCTCAGCTCAATGTCCAAAAATAGAGACCTCTTGAATATTACTCTTCACTACAGTCAATCTTGGCTGTAGCTCATATGCACATCAGTTTGCAGGGGTGTCAGGTTACCACAGCTCCTTCCACAGCAGGAAGTCGAAAAGCTCGAAGTAAGACTTTCCTTCCTGGGTCGGGGATGAAACAATAACAAAAAACATATGAATGGGGGTAATAAACATCCGTAACTACCAGTACTAGTACCAGCTATTTTGGTGTAAAAGCCAGAGTATTCGGGTTTCACTTAGACCCATTTCACTAGCATAAATGGGCACCTGCAACAAGAATGGGTTTCACAGTACAAAGGCAAGAAACTTTAACCAACCAAAAATAGGGGATTTCAACCAAGAAGAACGGGACATTTCAACTGTCACATTCATCGGAGATTCCACCATATTCCACCTGCCACGATTTCCACGAATCCCGCCCTTTCCAAGGCAGCATGGTTCATGGTCCTTGCCGGGAGGAGAACCCGCAAAGTTTGGTGGGTGAACCCCCCACTGCTTTCTGAACCCACCGACGACTGTGAGCTTCCGGCCCAGGAGTGAGGCAGCTTCACCATTCGAATGTGCGTCCTCAGTTGAGGCATTTGGGCATTTGGATCATCGGCATTGAAGCCATTTGGGTGTGTCTGAAAATAGGCTAAACCCCTAAACCCAATGGTTTTGCTGATCATTATCCCGTTTTTAAATGGCTATTTCATTGGGAATATACCCCATTTTCAGACAAACCCATTTCATGCCATTTCCATTCACTGGGAATGCGAAATTTGACTATCCTTGGCTGCTTGGGTGCGCTAGTATCGATGGCCAGTCATTGCTTTGCCAAGGAAGCAAACCAAATTAGGTGGGCAAGCCTTCCATTATCTTCCATCCCTTTCTCCGTTCACCCAGAATCTTAATCTGCACCTTTCAATGGCATTCAAGGCAAAAAACACACAAAAAAAAAAGCCATGAGTTTCATGTGGTGTTTCCATCAAAAACCAAGGAAACACCCATGGTTTTCTGTAGAATCCGCCCAATCTCCATTTCTGCAGAATCTTTTTCTGAGTCCCTCGGCGTGACCATGGTACTCACCTTGCAGAGATCGATCCAACCACCGAAAAATCGATTGTCAAACAGTCAGACTATTTGTGCCAACAACTTGACTTTAGGGGAAATACATCCACTAAAGTTGTATTCTCGTCTTCTGAGTTCATAATTTGCCAGGCATTCAAGTGCAGAGTCGATGCCACAAAGTTCTGATATGAAATCTGAGCAACAACAGTTCTATTGGTACAGCGAGGCTGGATCCAATCATGCTGGATCATGCTTGGTGGATCTTGGTGGTGTCATCGAGGACTGTTGAAGCCCCAATGATGGTGAATCAAGTCCCGATTTAAAATGTGTGATTGCTTGAGCCCGTATAGCGCCACTTAAATGCCCAAACATGTTGGTCAACTATACAGCTTCGTCATCCCATGGTTAGGCATGGGTTCTTGATGAAATGCAACCATTCACCAATCTGAAATGGTTGGCCATAAATTCCATAAATTCGGATAGTAGTTGCCCTTAAGATCCCTTAAGCATAAGCATTCGGCATTATCTATGCTGACGTTGCTGACGTTGTCACGGCCCAGGGAACACACGAGGTCAATCAGGGTGGGATTGTAGAAGGTGTTCGCCTCGGCCAATGACTTGGAGCCGATGAGTTTCCCTACAACACTAGAAACATAACGGTGAGATGAGTCAATAAAACTAGTTACAAGAGTTACAAGTTAACACTGTATATATATAATTATATATATAATTTTAGATATATAACTACATATACATTATTATCTACAACTTATATAACAATATATAAGTGTATAAAATTACAATGTATATATGATATGATATTATATGTATATTTACGTCATATATATATATATATATTATCCTATACAACAAACTGCCAAACAACTGCCACAAAGAAAAACGACCCCGCTCGGCTTGGCACCGCCAAGGACGCAAAGGTGGTGCCCCCGGCGAAGAGCCGACCTGCCGCGAACCTGGAATCGCTTTTCATCGCTCGCTGACCACTTTGTTTTGCACAGACGTTGCTGCTGGATTTCCGTTGCGGTTTTTTCCATGGCTTTTTCCATGGTTTTCACAAGCATCTGTTGATGGTTCCATGTTTTTTTCCATATTAACCAACAAGCATCTGTTGATGGCAACACTTCTCTGACAAGTTTGAGGACGTTGAGCCGAGCCATTGGTGATGGCCAATTTCGCTCGCGAAAAACTCGGCGGCCCCATGGGCCTGGGCTGCACATAGTACTCCTCCACCTTGTGCTTCGGTCCTCGATCGAAGTCCCGAGACTCCGAGATGGGAAGGTGTGGCGCTCAGTGGGAAGTCCACAGTGGGGAGATGTTGAGACTTGGAAACACCTACATTGAGAAGCCTTGAGTTCAAATTGAATATGTGAAATTATGTGAATTGAATATGTCTGAATATGTTTTCTTGACCCAACAAAATCATCAAGGAGTCAAGCTTCATGTATGACAATAAGGTTAAGCTTGTTGTGGGGCAAGCCATGCAAACAAGGTTGAAATTACCAGGGAAAGGGCGGCTTGGCACAGGTGGTAGTGGATGGAAAGCATCAATGGAAATGCTGTTTGGTCTGTGTATATCATATTATAATTTGCTTATATTCTGTGCAGCCCGCCCCAGAATTGCCATACAGTCATACAATATCCGAGATGAGATAGGGAAAATGAATGAAAATGAAAGAACTAGAATCAAACATCAATGCAAGCGAAATTGCAATAGAAAAATGAAGGCAAATCCAAGCAGTTGGGTGACTTTTGCCGAAGCAGTTGGATCATGTTTCATGTGAATTCCCCCAGCAGTCGGGTCATGTCGGGTCTCCTGCCTGCCTCCTGAAAAATCGCAAAAATGGATCCCCACCAAGTCTGTGGATGCCGCCCTGAGTCGCCAACTCTTCATGGTCGTTTCTTGCCGCTTTGACCAGGGCCAGCCTAAGCGCCCAACGAAACAGGCCTTGGAAATCCTTGGAACCTGAAAATCTCAAAGTTAGATGAGGGCTCCACATGCCACACATTGCGCATCCGCTTTCCACCGGAAATGAGACCACAACAGAATGTCAATTCTTCCGGGAATCTGGCGCCCTTGGTTCTCTTTCCCCTGGCAACCAAGATGAGCTGAGTAGTTTCGGTCAAGTCCAATCCAAAAATCCCTGGCATCTGGTAGTAGGATCTGCAAGATTTGGCAACCGCAGGGCATGGGAATTTTCTGCTCAATCAACCGCCCATCAACACTGCCTGCAGTCCGCGCATCTGCCCATCCTTGGTGGGCTGTCCATGCAATCCAGGCCTTAGAAGAGTTGATCATCCGTGCTGGTGTCCTAAAATGGGAAAGCTCCAAATCAATGTGTCTCACGAATGTACGAAGCTTTACAACATCAATTTTGAAAGGCTTTGGGGCCTGTTCTTTGTCATCCTTCACTTGAAAGGGGATGAGAGGCGGAATGCCCTCCAGCGTGGTTTGTCAGGAATGAAGTGTTCTTAAGTCGTTCTAAAAAAGTAATGTATGCCCAAAACACCTTTATTCTTAATTGGTGTTATTTGCCATCAAGCTGTGACTGTAGTTTAGATTCGAAGAAACTGTATCATGGGATTCTTGGAAGCTCGACATCAGGCAAATTAGACTTTGTCTGGTAAACTAACATACCTATGCAAAATCACCATTTCTTATGGGAACTATAAATGGCCATTTTCAATAGCTATGTTAAATTACCAGAGGGTAGAGTGTGTCTGGTCTGAAGATCTATGAAAGAGTGACCGAAAGGGAAAAGAGAAACTAGTTCCCCTTGTTGTATGTTGTGCTACGTCCAGTTTGTCCAAACATCGGGGAGCGAAATCCAGTGCTTTTTGGCCATGGTTGAAATTCCAATGGCTGTGGTGTTTTCCATACCTGGTTGGTGGTTTCAACCCCTCTGAAAATATGAGTCAGTTGGGATGATTATTTCCAATCTATGGAAAAAATAAAAGCCATGTGTAAAAACATTCCAAACCACCAATCAGATACTTGGATGTGTCTGAAAATAGTGCACCCCTAAACCCAATGGTTAATGATCATTATCCCGTTTTTAAATGGCTATTTCATTGGGAATATTAACCCAACATTTTCAGACAAACCCACTTGTTGGCACTACATCCCAGCCATCCACCGCTTCTTTTTGTCTTACGCCATGGAGTCGTCGGCACCCCTGTCGGTCTGTCCCGTCTCTGGTGGCACCGCAACTTCAGGCGCTTCAGATGCCAGGGCCGCCAGGGGATGAAGATCATCGACAGACTTCACCTGTTGGGATGGCCCCAAACTGAGAGACACTTGAAATATCTTGAAATTGGGTACCCTCTGGTGAACTAACTGGTGAACTAACAGTTTGCTATTGAAAATGGCTATATATAGTGGATTTTCCCATGAAAAATGGTGATTTTCCATAGCTATGTCAAATTACCAGAGGGTAAGTGAACAGAAATTTCATGAAATTTCTAGTGTCATGTGTGAAAAACCATAGGCTACTACTTCTCATGAAAAGAAAAAGGCGGTAGGGTCACAGCACTTTCACTCCTACCTGTCTCTCCAAACATTGACCTTCGTGCTGTCAAATTTGTCCGTGGTACACTCTCTCAAAAAGGGGACGCAGTACCCCGATTCAAGGCAATTGTTTTCCAGCCGCAAACTTGATGTTCTGAACTATCAAAAACCATCGAAATCTGTTGGCAGCCTATTTTCAGCTCATCTTTTTTCCAAAGCAGTGCTGAAGCATCTCGGAGTCATTCAGTCTGGTGCCTCGGCAAAGTCCTTCAGCTCCTTGCTCAAATGTTCCACCTTTCGCCAGAACAGCGACCCTTGGTACCATGCGTCCTGTCATAGCTTATCTGTACAACAGTTTATACTGGCAATTTACCAAACAATGTTGTATTAAATACCCCCCATGGCTGGGCCATGATGAATAGGGCCAGTCGAAACCAGGGATGTCGTTTCAATTATTTGCCAGAGGAACCAGACTATGTTCTCTCTAAATTCTCTCTAAAAACATATGACATACTTTTGCTGGGGATAAACCTGGGGATAAACCATTCTTTCACATGATCCAAGTAGCAGATGTAGAGATTCGCTAGTCAAATGGTGCTGTGGATCATTATCGGAGCCGTCGCCAAGGTCAGCGGTTATGGGGATAGTAACTATACTGGTTGGTGGTTGAAAAGAAACCCTCTGAAAAATGATGGAGTTCGTCAATGGGAAGGATTAGACATCCCATATATTATGGAAAAATAAAAATTGTTCCAAACCACCAACCAGCTATAGTATTCATGGGGGTTATAAACCAACGTTCACATCACAGCGGGGCCTAACCAAAAGCCAACCTCTTGCAATGTGTACTCTTTCGCGCAGACCGAAACAGTATCTCGTTCGAAATGTCCCCCGAAAAACAGAAAAAGATGTGGTTCGGGAGACGCTGGGAATCCCTTAGTTCCTTCTAAACCACTGGAGGTGCTGCGTCAATAGTGATGCCCAATTTATGTACATAGTATCCCCATAATCTAGCAACCATAATTCATCAATTACCCTCCAGTAAATTAACATAGACCCTGGTAGTCATCGGGATTGGAAGATTAGTTTCCTCTAAAAATTGGTGATTTTCAGGGTCTATGTTAATTTACCAGAGGGTACATCTCAATTCCATCCCCATGTTTGATCGTTTTTTCAAGCCCTCAATGGTGAAATCATGGTGGAATCATGGTGTCCATATGACCAGGGCTCAGCCACTCGCCACTCGCGTGTCCACTCGGTTTCCCATCGGCACCGTGGTGCTATCCAGCGCCCCTCCCAGCGACGCCAAGCACTGCATCATCAGCTCAGCCAGCGGCCGGTCGCCGGTGGAGAGGGCCACCAGGGCAAAGCCTTGGCGGAGAAAAAAGAGGTCCTTGGAGGAACCCATGAGTTTTTTGAGATAGGTTGAACTGAAAAGAAAACCCAAACCCCCCAAAAAAAAAGATGGAATGTAGTAAAAATCCCACTCGAGTAGCGATAAATTATAGACTTGTCGGCATCTTTTTGGGGGTTACTATCAATTGGAGTTGGGTTGCAAGTCCACAGAAATGTTGATAACCCAATTTGGGTGGGTTGAACACTCGCCCACTGTTTCCGGACCCTAGCCATTCATGCAAATAAATATTCGATGCATATGACAGATGTGCTGTGTGTATCCTTCTCGATCGGTTTTCCGCAGATCCGCAGATCCCGCTTGCACGTCTAGATCATGAGTCAACCCCAGATTATATCATAAACGATCACGGTGAATTCGCAGGCTTCCCCGGTTCCAAGAGTGATCAATTACCATCCCCAATAGAGCTTTGTGATTGGGTATAGCCCTGTTTGAGATGTTTATCATGACCCCCAGTTATGGTTGGTTAATGGGATGGTAAAGTGGTAAAGTGTGGGTAATACGTGTGAATGTTGGGTGGGACATGGTGGGACGGACTACTGCAACGTATGTATTTCATATATAATGAGAGTGTGTGTTCATATATTATGTATTCTATGGACACACATACTGTAAACTACAAATGCATCTAGTACAATAATACATATAATTATATATATATAGTACATAAGTTCAGCTATAGTACAATGAATACATATAAATACATATATACATATATACATACATATATACATGAGTTCAGCTATAGTACAATAAATACATATATATAATATGTGTATATATATATATATATATATACATACATAGACAAGTATTGTGGGAAGATCCCCTTCAAAAAAGAGGCTCCAGCTGAATTTATCCCAGCAACAAGTGCAGCACTCCCGAAATTTCTCCACATCGACACCTGGAAAGGGACGGCCACTGCTTGGATGGTCGTAGAAACATGTGCTACACGTGGCATGTAGCCTCTGGTGAACATACAAAAAGCTATGGAAAATGGCCATTGAAATAGTGGATTTTCCCATTAATAGCATGGTGATTTTCCATGGCAAAATGTTAGTTCACCAGAGGGTAGCTACAAGAAGCTCCACAACCATCTAGCACCAAGTCACGTGCACCGAAGAGCGCCTCCGCTTTGACGCCATTTGAGAGATGCCCATGCGCCACCTGCGGGTTCAGCCAGGCGGGCTTATCACCACTACCCAGTGCCCTGGTGAACATCCGAAATAGCCGGGTCCTTAAGATAAGCCAAGGGGAAATCTGCAAGAAACCGTAGTTGTTCCCATCAGGGTCGAGTAGATGTTCCCTTCACCTAACCCTATGATTATGGAGGTAGTTTTCCAATACAGGTATAGTTATTGTGGCCTAGCTCATAGCTGGAAGTGGTGCTCAAACCCTGTGGGCACCTAGGTAGTTCAGGTAGTTGACCCCTCAAGCTGATCATGGTGACTAAACTCATTCAACAATGGGCGTCCATCTGCTTGTCTGGCTTTGCAGCCCACAATTGCGTCACTTCCTCATGCTCAGAAGAAGAGCTAAAATCCATTAGCAAGTCCCACAAAAATCCACAGTCTATCAAGGATACGTACCGTACCCCGTTATGTTCACAAATACCAGCATCTGTGGGTTTTCAGCTTTGATTCTTTGATGGTTTCACCTCCAGGGTTTAAGCGTCTCATCTAAAATTGACCGTGACTTCGTGCGTATGGGTATGGATATGATATATGCATCAAATTAGCCCCACAGATGGGATATGTCAATGTGTATATATATATATATATGTATAATTAATTATAATTATGTGTATGTATACATACATACATATGTATATATATATATATAATTATATAATCATATATACATAATACATACATATACAATGACTATACAGGATCCTCACAGCACTGCTTGCGAAACCACAATTTTTGCTGGTTCACTCGCCATTCTTGTTGCTGACGACTCTGACGAATTGCAATCCTAGGTTTGATGATGACATCCCCACTTTTCTTGGTTTGGGTTTCTTGAGTCAACTTCAATCCCCACCTTTGTTCCTTGAATATCCCTTAAATCTCGGATACGGGTGCCTCCGCCCCTAGCTACCCCACCTCGCTGATCTCCATCAAACGCTGTCGCAGCGTGCGATCGCGCAGGAAGCTCTCGACATCTTTCAGATCACGCAAGGAGTACCTCGATGGGGAGATTCATATAGATTCATTGGTACTCAAATTCATATAGATTCATATAGATTCATATAGATTCATATAGATTCATATAGATTCATACAGATTCATACAGATTCATACAGATTCATATAGATTCATATAAATTCATATAGATTCATATAGATTCATATAGATTCATATAGATTCATATAGATTCTAAGATTCATTGGTTTCTCTGTGAACAAAAGGAATAAATCTGAGAATCCTTACGCGGTCCCGACTGTCTGTAATCCCTGGGGATGATGTGATGTTTTTTTCAGGGAAACCACAAGCATCAGGGCATGATTCTGGGTGACAAAATGTTGAAATTTACAATAAGAAAAATGTGAAAGCTATGCGTTTGGGTGTCACAAAACAAATTCTTTTGATCCAAAATATTTGTTCACACACATAATGTGGAAATTTAAAGAAGATTTGCTTCCAAAGAAATCTAATGAAAACTATGTTCTTTTGATTGGAAAATCATGTCTTCACACGCCAAAGAACATTCAGTCACAGCATTTTTTGGGCTCAACACATACTTTAAGTTGTGGGCTCAACTGGCTCAGTATATCATAGTCTCTATGTATGTCAGCTTCCTCTCCAGCAGACCCCACGGGCATCAAGTGTCTGTGGTCGCGAAGTCTTTCGGACTCCCACCAGGCTGGGCCAAACGTACCAAATCCTGGGGGAGTGATACCCTCTGGTAATGACTAACAGTTTGCCATTGAAAATGGCCATAGAAATAGTTGATTTTCCCATGAAAAATTGCCATGTTCAATAGCTATGTTAGTCATTACCAGAGGGTAACCATGGAACGGGTGGATTTGGTCGAGATTGTACGAAGCGCAAGTGATGGGAACAATGGAGTGCCCTGAACGTAGGGCCATGAACTGCGACTCCGGGGGATCCAAATTCTGGGACAGCACATGGTAATTAATCTAATCTCACTGGTGCTGAAAATGCACAATAATAATAAATAATAATAAAAAAATCATCATCATCATCATCATCATCATCATCGAGAGGGTAGGAAAACTGAAGCTTTGTTACCTGGTTGATGGTTTCAAAGCACCAGGCAACACAAAAGAAGAGTTTTTGTCCTCCCTTTTTCCCAGGGCATAAATGTGGTGTAAAACTGCTGCACTCTGGACCGCAAAATTGGATGGTTAGTACCAAAACTGACAGGCCAATCCACGATTTTCTGAACCTTAAATTGTCACCAACCCCAAATCATGATATACCTACATGTGGTTTCCCCCAGTTGTAAGCTGGTTTGGTTTCGCCGCTTTCGCCCCTTCGACTGTCGATATATCCACCATAAACCTCGGCGTTTTCGTACTCTACCTATGAACCAACAGAACCTGTCTTTGCGGGCCCCCGTTGTAGTCATGTTGATCATTCCACTGCACCTTCCCCTCCAGGAGATGTCAGGAATCCAATGGCTGGACTTGCGCCCAGCACGGATCTCCATCAAGGCTTGCTTGTAGCCATTGCGCGCAGCATCCTGGGCCTAGGTTTCATGGGCAGGATACACCTCTGTACAATCATAGGTCCCCAAGGCCAGTTAGAACATGATGGAAGTGTATTCTTTCAGCCCATCTGACTGGCTCAGTTGGGGGATGTTGGGGGTGCCCATTTCCATACCATCGGAGCAGGTGCTGTCCCTTTGAGGTCCATTGAAAAAAACAGCTAGGAAAAGGTGGCTGTCGCCTTGACCTTGGCCTTTTTGACCCTCATCGGCCAAAATGATGCAACTGCAAAACATGGTTTAAAGTCATGTTTCAGCGAGAAAGGATCTCATCTGTCTCTTTTGGCACCCCCCTGATTTTTTTGAAGCCCCAAATGTCCCAATCTCCATGAACTGCGAGGCCCATCCCCATCACCCAGCCTCCTTAATGGCCTTCAGAACCGGTGAAGACTCAGCTTTGGTCTTCATAAGCCACGACAACCAGCGCCATGGGGAAACAACGGCTGCCTCCACTGGCGTCCCATATAGGATCGGTCCAAATGATCGGGCATGGCCACTCGAATCCTTTCCAAGCATGGTTCTTGTTGCCTGAATTGGTTAGGGAAAAAAATCCAGGAAACCCAATTTTTTTGGGGGGGGCTTTTCAAATCAGGGTTTTCTGCAAATATTCCGCCTGAAATGAATCCATTGATCTAGCGGGACGAGAGCACCAACAGCAATCATATTCGCGTTTGTTAGCGCGATGTCGAATCTTGAGAACGTCGGTCACAAAGACTTTGAAGCCAAATGGCTAGACGCAGGCTATGCAAATCAACAAATCACATCTGTTCCAAGGAAGCAGTGTCTATTTCCATGATACATTTGGGTATCCTTCAACATTTCAGACCGGAACAAAGTCAAACCAAGTTGTTGGTCCTGGTTGTATTCATTGTTTTCCATTGTTTATTGGAGTTTATCGGCCCATTCTTGGTAGATTTTTGAGGCGGCCACAGCAAGGCATTCCAGGCTGCCACACAATGGTAGGAAGGGATGGTTCGAGTCCACGACAATGTCCGACAGGACCAGCGTAGGCGACTCAAATCAGAAAGGAAGATATGACTCATCCTGGATAGCAATTGCGATATGTATTACATATATATATATATATGTAAATATATATATATACCATTTATTATTTCTACTATTATTATATACAGTTATATCATGTTTATATACAGTTATATCGAGTCTTGTATGTATGTATCTCATATTTTACTATAGTTATATATCATTATCTATCAATTTATTTGGTGAATTATAATACATATGTCTATATATATATATTGTGTATAAGTATTCTTATTATCATTACAGTATTATTGTGTATGTATATATATATATATATGTATTATTATCACTATTATTATCACTATTATTATTAATATTATTGTTGTTATTATTACAATATATATATATACATATTGTTGTTATTATCATTATTATTATTATATATCATTATGATTACCATTATTGTTATTATTATTATTATATATATATATTATTATTATTATTGTTATTATTGTTATTATTATTATTGTTATTATTATTGCTATTATTAGTATTATTACTGTTGATTATATATATATATATTACTATTATTATTACTATAATTATTATTACTATTATTATTACTATTATTGTATATTAGTAACATATATTATTATTGTTATTATTATTACCATTATTATATATTATTATATATATTATCACATATATATATATATATTATTATTATTATTACTATTATTATTATTATTATATATTATATATATTATATATATTATCATATATATATTATTATTATTATTAGTAGTAGTAGTAGTATTATATACTATATTATATATACTATATTATATATACTATATTATATATACTATATTATATATACTATATTATATATACTATATTATATATACTATATTATATATACTATATTATATATACTATATTATATTATATATACTATATTATATATACTATATTATATTATATATACTATATTATATATACTATATTATATTATATATACTATATTATATATACTATATTATATATACTATATTATATATACTATATTATATATATACAGATATATACATATATATATTATTGGATTAGATTAGATTAGATATATATATATATATTATTATATATATATAATTCATATATTAATCATATATAGGTTATATAGGTAGATTCTCAGGCAGGGTACTTTCCCCATCCAAGGAAGGCCATTGGGCTCTCCCGCCCCCACAGGCAGCTGGGATTCCACTAATCTGGTGCAGCAAATCACCTCGCGTCCACTTTGTCGCAAGGCGTCAGGGCTGAGTGGAACGTCTGCAAAAGTGGGGAACTCGCTACACCACATTCATAAAGGGTAAGTTCGGTAAGTTCAAACGCTCCGAATGTGGAAAAACTGACAAATCTAGAAACACGGCCAAAAGAGCTGGGGAAATCTAAAAATCTGGGAGAAAATTGCAAAAAAGTAGGAAGAAAGCTGGGAAAATTGATGAAAATATTAGGGAAATTGCACCAAATTGGGTTGTTGATTGAAAAACATATGGGAGGATTGACGAACTTGATGATTAACTAATGGATTCAGGCTGTACCCGAATACCTTGACAAAGCCATTTAGTTGGGCTCAGCAAGACTTTTTGGAAGATCTCTCAGAGTTGCAGGCTGTAGATTTCCTGTAATGTTGTAAACCCAATATTTAAACAAAAAAACACTATCACCAGAAACGGGTAGTATAAACCTCCAAACTTGGAGGTTCATCAGTGGGTTTACCACACTAGGGAGCTTTGCTCCAAGTTCTTCCAACGGCTTCAACTGGACCAGGCGGATTTGGGAGAAACCTGGACCTGGACGAAGGGCTTTCCCAAAAAACTGAAATGGATCCACTCTGACCATGGAGTCTCATTCCTTTCAAGGTGATCTCAGATATATAAAGGGAAGTTGAATTCATCTCTCCCAAGAGAAAAAAAACAGAAAAACGCCATGCCACGCTGGTGGGATGTGCTGGATCTATTCATTTTGGCTTTCCAAAAAAATCCACAAATGGAGCCAGAAACCATCAGAAACCTGGCCCATGAGTGCCTCAAAATCCACGGTCCAACTCTCCTAGTCACGATGGAAAAAAAATTGGGCGGAAGGCGTAAAAAGTGGGCATGTTTCGGTGTAGGTTTTGGTCGGCATCCACACATTTAACAAATAGCAAAGGGTAACCCCCCTTTCTTCTATTCATTCGGGAATCACTAAGGCCCATGACGACACTATTCATGCAATAAGGTGATGTGGCAAAATGTAATGACAATAGACGGGGTGGTCACTTCGAAGTTACACCGACATGTGGCCACTGTCCTGTTTCTCCGCATCAGCAGAACCAGCACCGGCATTGGTGATGAAGATCGCAGAGGCCCCTAGATGGCCCAGGGTTCATGAACCCAGGAACCCTGGCATGATATGGATTGATATTAGGTGTTTTAACATACTATTACCAAGAACAGTATACAGAGTCGGCTAAATAAGTGCAAATCCCGGCCAAGCCATAGCACGGTGTGTCTGGAGATCGGGAGACTGGAAAATGAAAATGGGCGCTGTGACTGGAGAAATGTCTATGCAAGATGTTTCCTGTTCGTCCTTAACAACTGAGAAATCCTAGAATTCTCTCACCTCTTTATATCGTGTCCCACATCAGAAGAAAACAGGAAACCATGGCTCTGTTCTTAGGAAACTATCCGCGGCCGTAGACACCCATGTACAAGCGAGAGCTCGTCCTAGATATCATGAAAAAAGATGAGCTTTTGGTGGCTGGTCTATTTCCCCATAATTCCATTTGTGGCAAGCCCCGAGTCGGATTTTACTTCTCCAGCTCTTGGGTTGTTATAATATCTATATATATATAAATGTATGTATATATATATGTATACTAGATAGATAGATAGATAGATAGATAGATAGATAGATAGATAGATAGGTAGATAGGTAGATAGGTAGATAGGTAGATAGGTAGATAGGTAGATAGGTAGATAGGTAGATAGGTAGATAGGTACATAGATAGATATGATAAGATATGATAAGATAAGATTAGATTTGATTGGATTGGATTGGATTAGATTAGATAAGATAGATAAGATAGATTAGATTAGATAGGATAGATAAGATAGATAAGATAGATAAGATAGATAAGATAGATAAGATTGATAAGATAGATAAGATAGATAAGATGGATGGATGGATAGATAGATAAGATTAGATCAAGATTAAGATTAGATTAAGATTAGATTGAGATTGGATTGGATAAGATTAGATTAATTAGATAGACACATATATAGTTCTATCTATGTATATATATATATATAGTTTATTATTTCTATACATGCATATTAGTTATGGTATGGTTGAGTCGGTCACCCAAGCCGCGTCACCTGTGAAGTTGGCTCGTTGGAGGTCCAGCAGAGATGTGGGCGAGCCCTGCAGGAAATAGACCTGAGATGTGAACGGACGGGATGGGATGCCACGGGGGTCTTAATATGAACGGATGGGATGGGTTTACCCTCTGGTAAACATACAAAAAACTATGGAAAATGGCCATTTATAGTGGATTTTCCCATTAAAAATGGTGATTTTATATGGAGAATCACCATGTTTAATGGGAAAACTCACTATTTCTATGGTCATTTTCAATAGCTATTTTGACATAACCAGAGGGTAAGGGGAAAATCGATGCGACGGAGCACCTGATCACAGTTCTCCACATTGAACCAGTCTCGAGGCTGAATGGCCTTGGGCACTTGGGCACTGTCCCCCTGAAACATCACCCCCTTGCAGTAGGGCTGAAGCACAAAAAATCACCACCAATCCAAGTGATGTTGAACTGTTGAACCCAAACAAAACGTGGAAACATCAGGGGAGGCCTGTTGTACAGCTTGTTCCAAGCAAGCTTGCCACTGTGAGCGGGAGCATCTGCATGAATTCTATGAGGCTATGGTGGGACTAGTGTACCTTCCAGTAAACGAACACGACTGGCTGCACAGTTCCTTCTATATACGCTTTATCATCTCTGTTTATGGACTATGTCCGTCACAAGATCGTAAAGTATGTTGGTGTGCTTGTTTACCAGAAGGCCACCCTTTTTTCGATTTAGGTACCATGTTTACATGATACATCCAAGCAACTTATGGGTCAACTGAGAGTTGCTCACCAGCCTTCCCTCCAGGCTTTCCAGGGTTGACCTATCTGTGACCTATCTGAGCACTGGGTCGCTTGGACTGACAGCACCACCACAGGGATGAGTTCGTCAGCGATGATGTTTTGCCGCAGAGGCCTCGATGAGTCGATTTTGGGATCGTGGAGAGCATCCCATTTGGGGGCACCCAACGTTGAACCAGATATCCACTGCTTGGTGGTTTTTCGCCACCCCTCTGAAAAATATGGGTAATATATGGTTAATATATGGTTAATATATATGGTTAATATATATGGTTAATATATATGGTTAATAATAATCTGGTTGGTGGTATACCTACCCCTCTGAAAAATATGAGTTCGTCACTTGGGATGATGAAATTCCCAATATGATGGGAAAAATAAAAGCCATGTTCCAAACCACCAACCAGTCCATATATCCCTTTGGGACTAGCTCAAGGATGCGTGCCAGGTACGAAAAAGATGGTGTAACAATGAAACTATCCACTTCGAGTAACGACGCATCAACCCACCAAGTAACATGGTACACGATGCTTCCCCTCACTGCTCCAATCTGCAGAATAAAAATCGCTGGAAAACCTCCAACTCATCTGGGGAACAATCAGCCGATCATGTTAGGCCGTCATCACTGATTTTGTCATTTAAAACATGTGGCAGTGTGTCAAAACCTTGTACCCCTGGTGAACATCAAAATAGCTGGTAAATGGATGGTCATTCCCCTAAAAATGGTATTAATCGGTATTGATCCATACCCATTTTGTCATTGAAAACATGTTTTCCACGAAAAAAATATGTGATCGGAATCGGAATTCCTTCATGATCTTCGGGGGTACTATACAATCTATACAATCTTCAGCCAAGGCACTTCACGAAATGCTCAATGCCCAGGCGCAAGTCCTGACGTTGATCTGAGATCGATGGATTGAAGGGAACTGCTACAGAAAACCATGTTCCTTATGTTGTTCTAATCATCAAACATGTGTATATTTACGTTTGTGTGTATAATATATATATATGTATTGTTGCATTTACATACATGACTGTATACATTTACATAATGTGTATATATATATATCATAAGTGTAGATCTAGATCTATATCCACAAACATAGGCGGATGTGCGTCATGGTCAAAACATGGTATATGGGGCATGGTCATCCCAGCATCAGTACCGTTTCCAAACATAATTGATCTATTAAAACCTATTAATGGTGGTATGACCATCTCAAAAAATGGCTTCATCCAATCCAGTTACCATCTGACATACAATTTTTTGGGCACCCGCCAGTTTTGTTTGTTGGTTTATTACTTATCTAACTAGAGTTGTTTCATCACCATCAGCCCTAGTTAATGTGGTAAACCATCGCATTAACCAAACCTCTGGCTATTCCAAATCTTCCCAAAGAAGGCTATACGGAAAAAACGGCATACACAATTTCATAGACCGTAATTGAGAATGGTTTACAATTGGGTTTACCTCCTTGACCTAGTTAGACCATGTTAAACCCTAAGAACCTAAACCACGTACAGTACTGTATGAATCATACGCAGGACCCAGGGCGCGCGCGCGCGCGCGAAGGCCTCATTGGTCTCTGTGCCAACGGCCAAAACGATGATGTGACCACCCACCTGGCGCGAGTTCTCAGATCCAATAGTTCCCAGTTCACCTGCCTGGGTAAATTATAATAATTCACTAACCTGAAATAAGGCCATTTTGGGATGATTCCCCCTTACTAACCATGATTCCAGTGAGGTCGCAGTGAGGTCGTTATAATTTACCCAGATGAATAGATCAATACTATTTCCGGTAGATTCCCTGCAGATTCACCGTTGGGAAATTTGTTCACGGCCTTTCAGGGTTGGAATCATCATCTGACCACGCGCGCTTATTGGGTGACACCATGATGCCAGAAGTAGTTCTCCCAAATCATCAATTTTAATAGGATTTTCCATTATAAACCATCCAAATCATTATAATACCATCCATTATAAACCATGCTAGGAAAAACATTGGAGACTTGGAGAACTGTGAAAACCCGGTGTTTTCAAACCAACTGGAGTGCCAATGGATCCCTGGATAACGCATGGCTGGTATCATCCCCACGACGTTGGGGGATAGCCGGGGGGATAGCCCTGAAAATCATGGCTCTTCATGGGGAAAACATGGGACAACTTTGATAAACCTTGGCTTTGTAATGCTTTATACAGCCGGAAAATGTTGGTTTTCTCGAGATTCTGAGCCCGAAACCGCCAGGCGTTTCAGGGGCGGTCTCAAAGGCTTCAAGGAGCGCTGGTGCCTGCAATGGGAGTAGAAACCTTGGAAACTATCCATTTCTAATCCCCCTAAAATTGAAGACCGTTGTATGGTTCCAAAACGGTGTAGATCCCACAAACTAAACCATGGCTTCCGCCGGGTGTTGATGTAATGGGGAGAATGGGATGTTCCATTGTGATGGCCCGAGATGGAGTGTTTGTAATCAAGCCTCTGATTCGATCATAAGTGGTTATATATATATACATATATATATATATACATAAGTAAATATATAATGATTATATACCCATCATATCCCCATGGCGTATCCCCCATGGAGTCCTCAAATGCCTCACTTTCGGTCACTGGAATCGGCACCTGCGCGCCACTCTGGCCAAATGCAGGGCTGCAGCCTGACAAGAACGCGCCCATGAGGATGTTAGGGACTGATTCAGGCACATATATAGTATACATATATAATATCATATTATATTATATTATATCATATCATATCATATTATATCTATATCATATTATATCTATATATATATATATGGTTAGGATGTGTCCACAACTTTTCCGATAGATGGTACAGTCTCTCCGGCTTGACCTGGATGTGTCATTCAGATAGATTTCACTACCGAAGAGGTGCGAAATCTAAAGCGGTAGTCACTGGGCAACACGGTAGCAATACAACAGTTGAACGTGGCACAAACCAGATAGATATAGATATAGATATAGATATAGATATCTATATCGTCAGTTCAACGTGGCACAGTTGACAATGCATATGCAACAAAACTTGAGTTTGCCACTGGAATAAACCCGAAAATTGAGCTCAATTGGAGCTTGAAAGGTATGTCACAAACCAGATGGATGATATGATTTACATGATTGATATGCAATTGTGTCCCATAAAGAATGAAACATATGAAACCAGATCTGTGATATTTTTCTGGCGTTTTTGTTTGCTTCCCTTGCTTCCGTTCTTCCCTTGCTTCGCCTTGTGCTCAGCCTTCAAACTTACATGGTTCATCTCTGGCACATCATCTTCCTGGATGCGGAAGAACCAACAAGAAGACTCGGGTTTGTCGTGAAAAATGGTGATCTTGACCAACAAATTGAGGGATAACTGAGGGATATTCAATGATATTCATGGATATTCATGGATATTCACCCACCACACAGGGTTAACAAGGCAAAATTCCGGAAATCATTCGGAACTTCTCACTGCTTGGGAAGCCCCATCACATCCACCGCATGTCCACACCTTGACCTTGAGCTTTTGTACAGCATCACCTGTGGCAACGCCGAAATGAATCGTTTTTGTAACATCCCCAACAAGATGGATTTGCTAAAGATGATTGGGAGAATCTTTAGGGCATATGTTTGTTTTCTGATTTTTTTGTGGGTTCATCAAACAAGAGATGGGCTGAACAAGCCACTGGCAGGTTTACAACAGACTTGAAAGCCCTTTGTAAAGCCCTTGTGGTTGTTGGGCATCTTTCAAATGGGATCCTCGATGACATCAACCAGCACCATCAACAGAACACCGTCCTGTCCTGGAAGGGATGGTGCTCCTGATTGACCATCATTTCTGAGATGTATCATGATGTATCATGCGTTCTGCTTCACTACTATGGAAACCGCAACACCCACAACAGAGATCAAGGTTTAAAAAAAAAAGTGGCCAGAAATTACCCTCGCTTCAGTCTTGGTTACAACAGGCCCCACAACTACGACGGAACTGCTTGACCACTGATGACCCTCCCATTGGTTCCCGGCGCACCCACATCATCTTCCCGACCGACATCTCCCTGGCATGCGGGTCATGCTTAAGTTTAAGCAGGACTGACGTGTTACTTCTTTGGCCGATTTTCTTGGAAACGTGAAGTTGGATGAAGCTGGATGAAGCTGGGATAACATCATTCCCTGCATTTCCTGAAACATCACGCTTCGGGCTGATCAGCCAATGATCACCACCAAAAATTGAGTTTCCCACTGATCCTTCAGTTTGGAAGGGTTTGACATCCCACTGTTTTGACGGAGGCAGAGGCACATGGCATCCCAAGTTTTGGGGAACCGGAAGATCATACCACGGTCCCAAAGTAGTGGTTGCACTCACCATCAGCAGATTTGGCACAAGGCTGGTAGCCCCCACCTCCTCCATAGAGATCCGTTCACGCCGGCCCAGGAAGACCATGCCAACATCGCACTGCATGATGGCCTGAAGCAGCTGACACGGCCAGTTGCCAGGTTGCTTCCATGCACCAAAAAGTGAGTCAGTTGGGAGATGTTGGTCCTAAATTCTAGGGCCGGAAACTGCAAGAAATGAAACCTCGCCAAGCCAGTTCCATCAAGAATTTCTTCCTGACCCAGCCAGGCTCAGCCTCCCGGTCGGAGGCCAGGAAAATACCCATGATCTTGAAACCCGGCATGGACTGAGCGGCAGGTGAGGGATTTTTAGGTCCAGCCGCTCGAATTCTGCATGTTTGGATCTCTACATGGATCAAATCATGTAAGGCAGCCCTTCGGTGGATTTTCCTCTTGCAGTATGTGTTGCCTGCTTTTTGGATCCCTAGTCACGGACCTGAGCGATTGCACCTTCCTGATTTTGAAGCATTGCCGACCAAACAAGATGGGACTGCAAGGTATTGAACGGATCTGCACTCCCCTCGCAGAAGAAGGTTGGGACATTTCGGATACTCAACATAATGAAGCCCGGATGGCTGAGTTTTCATCTTGGATTACCTCGTAGTGAAGCCCTCCAGGCCAGGGCAAGGACTCTGTTTTGGAAAGTCCCACCTTTCAGACCATGGCTCGCAGCCACCTCTTAGCGCTCCCAGACCTGCTTGATCTTGAAGGTGGGACCAGGATTGACGAGAACTTTCCTTGGAGGCCATGGCCCCAGAAAAGCCAACCAACAAATGGGTCAACGCAGGATGACTTATGGACCCACGATGTTGCTCATGCTTTTGGCACTAAACCATCTAATGTCCGGGGCCATAATCTTAAGCCATTACCAGCTAGGAATAAGGTGAACCAACAACCAATGACTGGGCTCCCAGTAGTGGCCCATCATTGAAAACTCTCCATGTTTTTGCCGATCGGGGACCAATCCATGCAGCTCAGTAATTAACTGTTGCCTTTTCCCTCCTGAAAAAAATATGTCCGCCCCCAGAAAAATGGACAGGTGCAACAGTTTAAGAAAAGCTAAACAAACTATTGAAGCCACCAATCACTACTCGTCCCCCCCATGTTTGCATAGAACTGTCTGCTCCGCCCAGGCACTTCGAATCGGAGCGCACCTCCACCAAGCCTCCCAAGCCAATGGGGTTGGCAACCCTCCTGATTCCCTGCCCGGCGACATGTCAGTTGAGCGCCGAACCCACCAAGTAGACCAAACCACCGGTTTGCTCGATGATGTCCACGACAACCTGATGATCATGATCATGATCATCATGATGCATGATCGTGATCATGATGATGCATGATCATGATGATGCATGATCATGATCATGATGATGATGGTGATTATCGTGATGATGGTGATTATGGTGACTATGGTGATTATGGTGATTATGGTGATTATGGAGATTATTCTGATTTTGGTGATTATGGTGATTATGGTGATTATGGTGATTATGGTGATTATGGTGATTATGGTGATTGTGGTGATTATGGTGATTATGGTGATGATGGCGATTATGGTGACTATGGTGATTATGGTGACTATGGTGATTATGGTGATTATCGTGATGATGGTGATTATGGTGACTAGGGTGATTGTGGTGATTATTGTGATTGTGGTGATTATGGTGATTATGGTGAATATGGTGATTATCGTGATGATGGTGATTATGGTGACTAGGGTGATTGTGGTGATTATTGTGATTGTGGTGATTATGGTGATTATGGTGATTATGGTGATTATGGTGATTATGGTGATTATCGTTATTTTGGTGATGATGGTGATTGTGGTGATTATGGTGATTATCGTGATTATGGTGATTATCGTGATTATCGTGATTATGGTGATTATGGTGATTATCGTGATTATGGTGATTATCGTGATTATCGTGATGATGGCGATTATGGTGAGTATGGTGACTATGGTGATTATGGTGATTATGGTGATTATGGTGACTATGGTGATTATGGTGATGATGGTGATGATGGTGGTGATGATCTTATGGTCCGTGTGAGGTAGATTTGGCATATGTAGGTCAAAGCCCATGATTTTCTCATGTGATTCAGGGATGAACATCCATTGCGAACAGATGAAGTTCCCAAATGCGCGCGTGTTCACCCCAGAATTCACAGCTACTTCCAAGTCAGAGTCAACAGTTAGAATGTGCTACAACTGCTTCCAATGAGTTTGCAAGGTTGAAAACACATCAACTTCTTTCCATCGCACGGTTGATCAGTATTTCCCCTTCAAATGTCCATAATTGGGTCAAATCTTTCGAGACGAACCCAAAAACAAAAGCATCTTGTTGGTTATTTACCCTGTAAATCCCTATAATATTGAACTCTGTCTCATGAGTTTCTCATTCAAAATGGCTGGTTTTTTACAATTGTTTGAATAATTCTTATATCATGTTATATCCCCCTATAGCTGGTGTATATACCTCCGGTATCATGAAACCTGGCAAACCGGGACATCAGCAAGCCATGGTTGATGACATGTTTGGAATGGCTTGCTGGAATGGCTTCACCACTGAAAAAGATGTTTGGAATGCACTTATAGGATAACTGGGTTTGTCTGAAAATAGTGTAGCCCTAAACCCACTGGTTAATCATCATTTTCCCTATTGAATGGCAATAATTGGAGGTATACATAGGTATATCCCATTTCCAGAGACCCCAATTTTGCCACTAGAATGGTGTTCTATCCCCCTTTTTTGGTGCAAATCCTCCAATTCTTTCCGCCACATAACGATGAAAAACCCACCTCTATGAAGGTGGCGTCGCGCTGCGCGTAGACCGGGCTCAATTCCACCTGTGGCGTTTTACAAAAAAGAAAAGAGATGGCTATGGATCAATACCTATGAAAATACCATTTTTAGTGGGATGAACATCCATTTGAACCCAGCTATTTTGATGTGAACTACATGGGGTACAAGGTTTTGACACACTGCCAAATAAAGAAAAAAAACTATTGACGGGGATGTGTCCCTATTGATATAGGAACTCCCACAAAGATACGGAAAAGTCTGCTAAAATGATGGCAGAATTTGATTTTCCGGTCTTTTCGGGCGTTGTTGTATTCCATGAACATGGGGATGGAATTCAGCTCCATCAATATGGAAAATGGAAACGCTCACCAACAAAAATCGAGATTGGGCACCAAAATGGAAACAGCCAAACATTGGTTTTTTCAGACCTTTTCAACAGTGGAAGAGACAAAAAAAAAATTGAATCCAGTGAAGCCGTCTAGGTTCCATGGGCATTTCAGACGAACCTACCTCTCTTTGAGACAAGAAAAAAACATGCTATCCATGATGCCATCCAATGAGGTGTACTGTAGCCACAGCAAGCGGCTTGCGCCCACCCATCTTGTCACCAACCTCATAGACTTCCAAGCCACAACCTCTTTCGAAGTCCTACAGGCGATGCAGAGAGTCATCAGCTTGACATACCCTCTGGTAAACTAACATAGCAATTGAAAATGGCCATTTATAGTGGATTTTCCCATTAAAAATGGTGATTTTCCATTGCTATGTTAGTTCACCAGAGGGTACCAGCCATGACCAGGGACCCTGGAGTCGGAGCTTTTTCGGTTCCGCACTTTTGCCGCGGCGGCAGCGACACGAATCTTGCCACACAGGCAGACTTCAGGGTTTCAAATTGGGCCCCTCGAAAAGCCAGAACTCAGCCAAAATGCGAAAATGGTTGGATATTATTGAAAAATCAAATTGATACTTTTTGGCTTCCAGGCAATTGACTCACAATTCTCCGAGATAGCAATTCTTGGGTTCAATGGACCATCATTTGATTTTGATTTCCAATGGATCGGATTGGATCACCAACTTGAAACCCCGACTGAAAAATGGTCCGACTGAGCAGGGCGTTCCCGGCATTGGCTTGGATCTATGTTGTCTGTGGCAACGGAACGTAACGAAACGTCATGGCATGTCACGTAGTGTAGTCTTGCGTGTGTGTGTGTGTGTGTGTGCATTTATGTATGTGGTTATGAGATGTTATGAGTGTGCGTACATATGTATCTAATTTCATCTAATCTAATCTAATCTATATTCCAATCTATTCTAGTGCAATAATAATCTAATCTAATCTACGCATGGATCTATAAATGCATACAGTCCTTGGCTTTCATCTGATTTCTAGGGCACACGTTGACCTGAATCGAGGGATTCACATGACCGGGAAACCCATTGAAGAAAGGGTGGAACAACGACACTATGGATGGTAAGATCTCCATCAAAATCTGGTAAACTCAGTCAGAAAAATAGTCTAAATCAACATCTTAAAAAAAATGGGAACGGTTTATCACTCATTTCTCATAAAATGGGAACGGTTTATCACTGGGTTTACTACATCATATCTTGTGGTTTTAGTAATTTGGCGCAGATTTGAAACGTATCGACCTTGTAGCCATCTCCTGCTCAACCCAAAATCTCCTTAGTGAATTTGGATGAACAATGCAAAGATGCCGTCTCGCACTGAATCTTTTGAAGATCCAATGGTGACGGCTGCATTATCCATGGAACAGCTGCGATCTTGGGGATACCACTGACCAATACTAGCAGTGTTGAGGCTGGTTCTTGGCAGTTTGGGACTGTTGGTGTAGAACACATTTCAAAAACATAAGCAAATCACAAACAATGCCGAATAGCTTCTGGTGCTTGCATAACGGACTCAGGAACCATTGTTAATCCGCCTCAACGCAATGAAATTCCTGGAAGCTGGGCCGCTGGGTCCCCATTTCCAATCATTTTCGACGTCAAGAACCCTCACCACCAAACAATGAAAAGCCTCCTTAAACTGTTATGTTGGACTCCCTGTGACTCTATGTCACATCTGGGTCCCTTGTGACTGCAGCTGTTCCACTTCTATACAGCTGGCTCTACGATCGGCCGATCCCACTTGCAGGCAGCACAGTAGCCGTGCCCTCTGGTCCAGTGTCGTCTATCACTGCTGAAGCCTCCAAAAACGCTGGGAGGAACATCTTAGGGTCCGATTTTTTTAGGGATATCCTGCACTCTCACGCGATTCACGTGATTTGGCATGATTATTGGGAAGTCCTTTAAGCGGCTTCTGCAAGCATACTGCGGGAACGTAAGTTTACTTAAGTTTAGTTCAAGTTGGTGACTCCAAAGAAGGGCAAAATGGGAAAGCTGACTTCTGGTTCAAAAGCGGGTGCCCCATTTTTCAGTGGATGGTTCCAGACCAGACATCCAGAAATGATCCCATGGTCTTGAATCTATGCCCATCCCAAGAGCAACAACCAGCTGCTTTGGTGCAGTAATAAATTGGTGCAATGGCAATGGTAGTGGTGCGGTGTATATCTTGTTGTTCATTATCATTTTTTGATTTATATCATATCTATGTACACCTATATGTATACATATGCACATACACACATAATCAATATAAGTTGTATGTATATACTGTATGTATATATATATAATTATGCTGGTTTGTCCAAAAATGCGGGATACCCCGAACCTGCAATTCTGATGAGGACATGATGATCAGTCATGGAATTCGGGGGTTCCTTTGCTGCTAAAATTCTCTCTCCGTCCCCAATGACCAACAGCCCAGGGGTCAGCGGCATAGCTAGGATGATAACTTGGCTCCTTGACTTGGGAAACATCTTGTGTATCTTTTGTGTATCTATATATATATAGACACTATGATCACTGTTGTTGCTGTTATTCTTATTGCCACTACATATCATTGTTACTACGGATATTATTGTCCGTTGTCCTCTTTAATTACATTTATAGAATTGACTTATATATATATATATGTACAAATATATATATATATACATACATACATATATATATATATATACATACATATATAGATACATATATATATATATACATACATATATATATATATACATACATACATATACATATATATATATATCGTGAAATTATGTATTTCAGTGGCTTCAATTCCACTGGAAGCCCATTAGCACCTGCTCCAGCTGTTTCTCCAGTTGCAAAACCCGCTCGCGCAGCTCTTGGAGCTCATCCTCCGTTGAACTGGCCACCGGGAATGAGCGAATCCTGAGTGTTTCGCATGGCAGCTGAAGCCTGGTTTTGATAGAGTTTAAGGGGATTTATGGGGATTTAATTGAATTTACCTGTTTAAAGGGGATTTAATTGAATGTACCTGTTTAAACAACAACAAGTAATTGAATTTACCCTCTGGCAATCAAACGTGGCAATGGAAAATCCCCCAAGTGAAGGTTTTTATGGGAAAATCCTCTATAAATGGTGGATTTTCCATTGCCACGTTTGATTACCGGATGGTAATTGCAATTTAATGGGGATAAATGGGGATTAATGGGGATTAATGGGGATTAATTGGGATTAAGTCAATTAACAGGGATAAATATACAATTAGAAGGAATTTCATGGAAATTGAATGGGATACCTTCTGGTTATTCTAGAAAACGGTGGACTAAAAATACAAAATGTTGGTTTAACAATATTTAACCAATGAAAAACAATACATAGTGGATTTGGGTATGTCTGAAAAAATACAAATACCTCCAAAAAAATGGCTTTAGTGTGGATTTCATGTGGATTTTCTGGGATATATATATATATATATCCCCAACAATTGGGTTTGCCCTCTGGTAATTTAGCATGGCTGGGAAATCCCGAACTAAATGGATGTTTCTACAGTGGTGGGCAAAAGATTGGAAAATAATCCATAAGATGAAGGTATTTCTTCTTGTAATCTAACAGTTTGCCATGGAGGAGGCGATGTTTGTTGGTAAAGCATCTACAGATTGATATTTATTTGTCCAGGCTATCAAAAAAAATACCAGAGGATAAGTTGCAGTTGTTCGGTGGCTAATAACGTTCCCCAACTTGTTGATTTCCCCAGCTCTTGAATCCTGAGTTACTCTCCAAATATTGGAAGGTTGGGATCATTCAATAGCTGGACAAAAATCCTGCTTAGATCCTATCACCCGTTGTAGGATTTTTTCCGGAGAATGGATGGTGATGGTATCATGTGGGGTTCAAACAATGAATGCTATGACTTGGCTAAAAAACCACCAGCCTGGCGCAGCATCCCCAAGCGTTGTAACCCCAGGAGTTGGAGTTTTCACCCATTGACACTGTACCCAAAATCTCTATCGAAATGTCGTATGTCGTATGTCCCTTCAAAACTTGATTTTTTTTCATCCAGAATCCAGAGTGATAAGTTCCTTTTGAAAGGGCCATGTTACTCAACAAACCATCAGAACATTGGCAAAGTGCAAGCATTGCAGTTGTCGCTTCAACCGAGAGACGTCTCGTGGATCTCCAACATCTTAACGAAGACAACAGTCAGCTCTTTACCTTGACAGGGTCCAGTGTTCCCCACCCTAAAAACTTCAAGAGTGTGGCTGATGGGTTTTGTTGATAAAATCATGGGAATCTAGCCAACAAAACTGGGGCGTCAGCAACGGGCATATTGTGAACATATACATACATGGGATATGTGGCTGGCCACTTGACAATGAGTCCTCCATAATCCAATGATCATGGTAACGCTTCAAAAATTACCCTGGGATGGGCGACCAAGTGACGTTTCCCCGGTTCTGGTTCAGAAAACGCATCTCCCTCTGCATCACCACGATACACTGAAAATGCAGAGAAGTTGCCATCAAGATCATCAAAAGTCCCGAGCTGCTTCTCGATCTCTTGTCGTTCAGCATCTGGAAGCTGGCGCAAAGTCATGTCAAACCTGCGTTCGCGACACAAATCCCGGATCCATCCGGATCAACTTCCCCAACTTCAAATGAGACTGGAATCTCCCAAGTCCACAAGACATTTACCCTCTGGTAATGACTAACATAGCTATTGAAAATGGCCATTTATAGTGAGTTTTCCCAATAAAAATGGTGATTTTCCATAGCCATGTAAACGTTTACCAGAGGGTAGGACATGACCCAATGTTACAATATGTTCCAATATCCCAACCTCTGAAAACCCCAACCGCTCCGTGCCTGATGGATTTCAGTCTCCCTCGAAGATCTTCCTTGGAAAGGTCCTTGCTATCCAGGCCAAATCCAAAAATCAAGGCAGGAAAAATCTGAACGAATCTCAGTGACTGTGGGATTTGTTCATTTTGTTCTTTGACTATCTCAGAAAATACCACTAAATCCTACAAAATCATACAAAACCTCTCAAATTTTGATCCATTGCCAGGGTTTTAAAACCTGGCGACGCATCACTGAAGTGACCAGTCCTGAAGTTGCAGCTGAAACATGGTCTGCGCGCCGGCAGCTCCTAAGCTCCAACAATATCATATTGGATCGCTTGAAAACAGCTTCAAAACTGAGCCAAAAGTGAAATTTTCTGTAGTTCTGTGGAATATAGTTTAGATTTCCATCCGAAAAAGGTGAAGAAGCAGATTTGAGGCCATGCTTGGATGATTTCCGGCTTTCCGGGAGGTTGCTGTGCAGTATCCAGCTGAAGAAACAGGATCTTCGCCACTTTTCGGTTTCGAACCACAGCTACCTCAAATCTGCCCACAACCTGAATCTCTTTTTAAGGTGAGGAGCAAGAATTGCAAATCAAACCAATAATGTGGTAAACCCAATGCCATAAACCATGCCCAAATTTCATCATAAATGGGTGGTATAAACCATCTCAAATGGTATATACGTAGGTTTATGCCATTGGGTTGCCCATATTATCCAGTTTCCATCGGAAGACGGAGATAGAACATCTAGGATAAAATTGAAACCATCCACTTTGCGCAGTTGATATTTTTGAGCCCTACCAACCCAAGGTTTGACCTTTTCCCTAAACTGATTCTTTTGGAGGTCTAAGGCAAAAATGGCTGGTCAATACTGGTCGTCTCAAAAACCTATACAATCTGACAGATACGGAATCTTCACCCATGGTCGATGGTGAAACAACAAGATTTGTGGCCTATCGCCTCAGTGGCCCCCCTCTCCAGCTGAGCATCTCTGACTGCCTTCCAGGAAGTCGCACAACTTCAGCGTCGCGGGGTGCGATGCTACCATCCCCAAGATGCAGCCACCAACGCCTCGGCCGGGACCCCGATTTCTGTTGAGAAACAAACTTTTGGAGGGTCGCTTGCTAGCCCCCGTTCAGCATATGTCAGCACCTTGGTGATGACTGGCAGATTTTGGCCCAAAATATATTTATTTCCCAGCTAGTACATGACCAAGTACCACTGGCAAGTGGGGTTCATAATCATGACCAGTTACACTACGCTACAATGTTACACTGGTAGACCCCCTGTTGCAGAATGTGCTGACCCCACTTTCCACAGTACACGGCTTTGTCATCTGATTTATCACTCCAATAAATAACAGTTTACTTCCCAAAAATCCAATGGTTTCCGGCAAAATCCCATAGTTTTCCCCTATTTCCATGGTATTTCATCATATTTCCCGGCAAATCTCTCCATCTTTGCCAAAAGAAATCGCAACCTCCGAGGCACACAGCTCAATCGCCAGGCACAAACATTCGAAGAAGGCGCCCAGGGCCGTCTCCGGCACTGCGTCCCCCACAGGGTTGGCGAGTGAAGCCATTGAGGCCGCCATGAAATAATAACCTCAGTGGCGACTCAGCAGGCGATCAACGAACTGCAGGAAGGTAAAAAATATGGATCAGCTTACCCTGGATGTCTAGCAGTGGCTGATCTTGCACGACTTCCCAAGAAACTGCCTGGGAAAATATGGCAACATCTCGAATCTGGGCATGAAGAAAAGAGTGTTCAATCAAAGTTGTCCAAAATGCCTCTCGCAGAATCTTTGAGAATCCTTGAATTGAATCCTTAAATCGATGCTTGGAGGATCTACCTGCATAGGAAAACACCTGTGAGCCCTTTTTTTCCAATGACAGATTGCAGTTTTTATTGGGGAATGCTCCGATAAACCAACTTCCATTTGACGGTCGTGATGGTCATCCTTACGGTCCCATGGCTTCTGAAAAACTTATGCTCCCCGTGATGTTCATGAAACAATATGGCCCCCAGCTAATTGCCAATGGTTCCATGGCATAAATGGCATATTCAATGCTTTTCAGCCCTTTGCAAATTGCCAGTTTAACCACAACAACTGTCAAACGACTCATTGGTGAACCCCTGGTGCGACTCAAAAAGGGTAGGGACACTTTCGTACCATACCAGGGATTATGCAAAGGAATATAGTGTCCAGGCTTTTTTCACGGCGTCAAAGTATATATATAGCCAATCCAAAAAACCATGTGAGGGCCATATGCATGTAGCAGGAGCAGCCGCAGTAGCAGTAGCAGTAGGTGTAGTGGTAGTAGTGGTGTGAGTGGTAGTGTTGGTAGTGGTGGTAGTGGTAGTAGTGGTAGTAGTGGTAGCAGTGGTAGTAGTGGTAGTAGCAATAACAGGAATATCAGCAATATCAGCTTGCTATCAGGGATATTGGCAATGTTGACAATATTGGCAATGTCAGCAATGTTGGTCAAATTAGCAACATTAAAAAAAAAAAAACTGAACTACGCTGCTCTGGCTGACGCTGATGGTCAGCATGCAACCAGGCCAGAGCTCTTCGAAGGGCTAGGCCGGAGCATCCAAAGGATGTGAACTGTGCCAGCAACATTGGCCATATGTAGCAATATGCACTAATATGCAGTAAGATTTTTTATCTATTTAAAGACAACGACCACCAGAAACCGCAACCGATAACACCAATAGTCATCATGACCATTTAAAAAGATAGGATCCAAAAAAATATAATCATCATCATCATCATCATCTCGTCGTCGTCGTCATCATCATCATCATCATCATCATCAATCATAATAATAATGAGCATCACCATCGATAATACTGTAATCAATAATAAACATTAATAATCAATAATCATCAACAACAATCAATAATAGGCAATAATAATCCATCATCATCCATGTAAATCGATGATAAATGACAATAATCAATAATCATCACTGATAATCACTAATAATCGATAATAATCAATAAGAATCCATAAGAATCAATAAGAACAACCATCATCAATAATACAACATGCGAATTTCATGAGACTAGAAATTCAGATGTTCCAGACTTCCAACAAAAATTGCTAATGATCACGTCATCATCATCCCCTCCCTTTTTTAAACCGGTTTTTAGTCGTCCAGTGACCATCCAGAAGGCTCCAGCCCTCGATCCCGGCCATCAGCGCACCGATGATCCAGGTGAGGACGACCATCGTCACCGGGGTCTGTCGGTCACGGCGTCACCGGGGAGACCCTTCTGGGTTTTTTGGAGAAATTCCGATGGGAAAAACGTAGAAAAACGTAGTGAATACTGTACTGACTGATGAATGAGTGTGAATTTCTGGTGTGAAAATTCTGAGTGATGAATTTTTGTGTGAATTTCTGGTGTTTTGCTCGTAGCTGGAGAATGATTGGAACTGATTCATAGGAAAACGTGGAGGATATAGTTGGAAAGTGTGGGGAAAATGTGGAATACTTACTAACAATATAATATAACTTACAACACGTACCCAATAGTAGTGTTTTATGAAATGTGGATACCCTGATTCTCAGGATGATTCCTTTTAGACCCCTATTGTGGTTGATATTTGGAGATTATGTGTGGCATTGTGGATCCAACATTGCATCATAGCGGCATTCAACTTATAGTCCGGGTAGCTGTATACCGTATACATCCGTATACCCATTTACATCTGGTAGGGCTCCATCAATGAGATGTACTTAAAAGGATGAACTGATCCACAGCTGCTACAGCTCTCATTCTGCAGGGTCCATTTCTCGAGTTCCGTGTTGGCTTTCTGTGATCCCACCTGTAGACAGACATCGAAAAAAACATCGAGATTCTGGGGGGATCATTTCACGTACCGGTCATATGAGTCATATGCCAGGAGTCTGGCCAGAATTTCTGTTTCCACTTTGGACTTTAAAAAAAAATCAAGCCTCACTGGGGCGTTTTGGGGCACTTTTTTTTGGCCTTTTGTGGCCATCCTGAGGCCCCCCACAATGATGAAAAGGAAAGCCAGAAAGCCACAGGTCGACTCCGGGACTTTGCCAGCCAAGGCAGTCATCAAGGACATGTTGGCCACGAGACCCATGGCGGTGGTCACCAGAATCACCGCATACCTTGGCCCCGCAGCCGCATGATCCTGGGTATCCGAAAAAAATCTACGGAAAAGCCTTTGGACAAAGATGTGGCTTCACGGGAAAGATCTAGGGAAACTACGTAGAAGATATTACAATCTTGTTCCCAAATCTGAAATCAGGAGGGTGGTCTGTGGTCTCGCTTGCCCCTTGGTATTTAACCTAAGCTAGCAATGGAAGATCGTCCATGAGACTGTCCGTTTGATGATTATCCCATGAAAAATGCGGATTTGCCAGCCAGCCAGCCAGACCAAGTTACTGGAGAATAACCATCATTGATGATGGGGCTCCAGTGTTATCCCAGTTATCCCCAAGATTCACAAGAAGAATACCCTGTCAACGTGTGGTTCCCGCCATCCAACCACTACGAGGCACATATTGACAATGATAGCAAAGTGGATGCCGGCATCATTGGTGGGCACGATATCCATCAGAGGCTGGGTCATGCCCAAGACGTTGGAAAGGAGGTACTCCACCCTGAGATTGGTCGGGCTGTCGTGTTTCGATCTGGAAGATCAAAAAGCTACATCATGCCATATTAATTTGAGTGGTTTACGTTTACATGAAATCAACAACATCGTTCGTTTCGTCATGATGTCATGCCCATCAGGCAGAAAAGAAGAAAGAATATCTGAATAGCTTGCTCGGGATCTGTTTATGAGACCCATTCAGAGTCTGAAGAATCTCTTGGATCCCGCATCAGTCAATGGAATTGTAGAGGAAATCAAATCACCCACTCTCTCATGAGCAGTGAAAACTATCTCGATCCGAGGGTTCTCAAAAGACACAAGGTAAACATGTCCTTTTTTTGCAATTTGGCCATGTCTTTTTCACGTCAAAAAGCCAATCAGATCCTCAAAAAATCACCAGCTGCAGTTCCACTGTGTTCCACTTTGTCAGACAGGAGATCTTCACCCAAAAAGTTCTAGGGCTTTAAAAATCCCAACTTCTGGAGGTTATCATCATAGGTAATCATAATCATAAGATATCATAAGTATATGTACCACAGTATAACTGTATAACATTGTATAACCATATATAACCATCTTTCTTCGAACCCCAACCACCCAACCCCCACCCAACCGCCACATCGTTTGATCGCGGCACCCGATGGCGGCGGGCCAATCTTCAAAGGCGGCCACCGAGAGTCCCAGGAGCACTGAGCAACAGACCAGGAATAAAGGCAGAACTCCCAGCCTTGGCGCAGTGCCCTGGGGAGAAGCGAAGAAGGCGGGGTCCCACGAAATTGCAAAGTTCACAGAAGGTGAAGTCGATTGGGTTGATTGGGGGGAGCTATAATGGCTTCATAAACCAACTAACATTTCACTGCAAAACTCCACCTTGTAGGTGATTCATCGTGGATTTATGTGGATTTAATGGGGAGTAATGCGGATATACAGGGAATTGATATAACGAACGAATGAGAGGATAATGAAACACGGCTAGCTGCGAAATCCTCGTAATGTCATCTTCACCAGGGTACAAACGTTTTGACCCACACCCGTACGTTGTTTTTCAAGGTACACCTGGAATTGCAGGAAAGCCGCATGAAGAATATGGAAGCTACAGAACCTCTCAGGACCTTGGCTCAAAACGACTGACCCAAAAAATTGGATGCGTTTACCCTCCGGTGTCGTCAAACATAGCAATGGAAATCCCCTTGAAATGGAGGTTTCGAGCTGGGAAAATGTATAAAATGCTGGATGTTCCATGCCATTTTTGATGAGGATGATTGGGATAGCTTCCTGGGTCCGGTTTTTCTGCTACCGCATCCAGCAGAATCTCATCTGATTTGGTCAACATCAGAATCTTATCATCTTATCTTTAAAGGCTTATGATGGTTCACAAAACCCAGTATTGATCCATAGCCAATTTGAGCATGTCTTTTGTTTTGAACCAACCCTGTGTTTTTCAAAAAACTGCCACAAAGGATTGCCGCAACTCGCGGCTTTTTGCGCTAACCGCGGGAAGGGACAAAGGGATAGCCCCCATACGCCAGCAACCCCGGCGAGGCGTGCACAGCGTGTTCGATGCCATCCGCCGTCTTCCTACCAGGTGGATCTTCCCAAGGCTGGACAGGAGGAGATGTCTTGTTGGATCAGTAAATCTATAGGGGGTTCAATAATTTCTCGGGTTTTATTATGTTTTATTGTTGATAAACCTGAAACCAGCAAATTTAGGGGGGTTCATGGTTGGGAAACAACACAGAACAAATGTGCGAAAGGTTTTCCTCTGGCAGTTTGACACTAGCTGGCTGGGAAATTCCAATTTCTAGAGGCAACATCATTTCAAGAGATTTAAATAAATGGTACCCTCTGGTAATTTAACGTAGCTATTGAAAATGGCCATTTATAGTGGATTTACCCATTAAAGATGGTAATTGTCCATAGCTATGTTAGTTTACCAGAGGGTATTTTGTTCATTGCCATGTTTGATTTCCAAACCAAATTAAATTCTGAGTGATTTCCAGTTGCTCCCGGAATTGGTTGCAAGGACTAGCCGGAAACCTGAAATCCTCTTGGGATTATCTGAGAAGAGAAATTTTACAAGAAGTAGAAGAGCAAGGGGAGTCCTCTTTGTGTTCTCTTGGATCAATTTTTCGAGACAGGGTGAAGCCCTTTCCAAGGTGATTCACTTGGTCCGATTTTTTCAAGGTTTGACCCCAAATTGAAACCGAGAAAAAATTCACTAGCAGCATCCCCATGAAATGGGATGCTTTGCGATGAACTTCCAACACCAATTTAAGGGATGAATCTGGGTAAATTATAATATTTCACTAACCTGAATTAAGGCCATCTGGGGATGATTCCCCTTATTAACCATGATTTCCAGTGAGGTCGCAGTGAGGTCGTTATAATTTACCCAGATGAATAGAAATCATGGTCGCTGGGGCAGAGCCAAGGTGATCATTGAAGTTCTCATGCTGGGACGGAGAGACGGCCTGGATGTCATCGGCGTGTCGATGAAACCACTTCTGCTTGCTGGGTGCAACACATCTTTGAAAAATAAATGGCGATTGTGGATCAGAAAATGAGACCACTATCCCGAAAAAATCAGAAAACTAGACAGTTGAAGCTGCCAACCTATGATTGGAGTTGATTGGATATACTACTCCCCTTTTTGTTGGTTAAGATCCCATGGGGGTTCATGATCCAATTCACCATTTTGGTTGGTCCAATCCCCATGTCGTTGGGTAAATGTCACCATGTTTGTTGCATACTGTTCGCATGTCTGCTTTTCCTCTCAATACTTTGGATCTGACCCATTGTCCAGGGGAACTCTGTTGGCCATTTTCTGCAGACAAACCATCCAATCTTGTTTTTTGGGGACAACTTGCCAGTCCCCCCCAAAAAAATCGTCCTTCGGAAGGGACGTCGATGTCTCCGATGGGCACAGAACGAAATGAGAGCCAATAGAAGGATCACTAATAACATCATCCAACCTGACGACAATCGAAGATCTTGGTGTGAACTCACCATTGATCCACCACACCGGAATTGGAAGAATTTGGCCTAAAATGCGTGGTGCAAAATCAACGCGAGTGGGGATTGAACCCCACCAAAATGGAAGGTATAAGCTATATTGTTGCTGCAGAATAGGGTACCCCCTACCTAAGCATTGCTGGGATCCTCATCTATGCTGCTGCTGCACTCCTGCAGTCCCTCAGCTACCCGGGCATCCAGCATTTTAAGAGACAAGCCCCAGTAAAAATGGTGTCCCAGCAAAGAAGAGGTGGGTTTTTATTTCATATGGGACACCATATATAAGAAGCCTAGCCAGTATTTGCACCTATAAATCATATTCATATGGGGTATTTCCATAAAACAATCCCATAGGCTATGTATTTCCCAGCCCAGCCCAGTAAATCAAGCCTAGCCATAAAAAACATCCCGATGAACTTGGATCAACCCGATCGGTCGCCATCTCCCGTCCAGCATCGTCCAGCGACTGTAGTGCACCAAGATCATCAGAAATTCCTCACCGCTGGGATGCTGCACCACTTGCAGCCCACGCACTTCGGCCGCTTCGGCCGCTTCGGCCTCAGCCATGGACCTGAGAGGTGCTTCTCCACCATCCGAAGCCATGGCTCCCCGTGTGTCATCAAACGTGGCTAGCTGAAAAATCCCGAAAAACAAAATGCAGGTTTTAATATGTTTATAGTATAAATAGCCTTATAGCTGGGAAAATCATCGAACTAAAAAAAAAGATGTTTCCAGCAAGCGAACTGTTTGACGACATCGGTCAAGATTTGTGGCAGCGCTTTGTTGCTCTGGGTGCTCCTTTTTTTTGGGTGGAATGAACCGATGCTTTGAATCACAGCACAAAATGGGCCTGGAATGGCCTTTTTTGTACCTCAATAAGCTTAACCGCCCCCTTGGGATGTCGTACAGCGACCTCAAAAACCTCCAAACAGCTCATGAGCCAAAAGAAGCTGCTGGGGACGCACCCAGGGCCCAGTTGACCTCAGGAAAATGGTCTACGTTCTCTACGGTACGGTCTGCGTCCATTATATGTTGATGGTTTTCCATGGTTTTCCATGGTTTTCCAGTGATCTATCTTGGTGAAGGCAACTTGATGTAACTTGCAGGATGCTTTCGATGAAATGGCTCATGCAAATGTGTCAAGCAAAACAAGTTGAGGCCTGTCCAGCTGGGTGTAACACTCCCGGAGTGTCTCCACCGTTGCAACACCCCCTTGCAGCTCCTTCTTCCACTGTGGCTTATGCTCAGCTTCCCAATCTTCGTCGTCCTCAGGATCCATCGGAACAAGAGGACTAAAAGTTCAGGATCCAGCCCCCTATTTGGGTGTCCCGAGTTTGACCATCTATTTGTATGAGAACTGTACCGAAGAGATCAAGTCCGACGCTTGGACCATTTTGGACATTGGCAGTGTGGTTGGTCCCATTGGAAATGTCCAAGGCTTCATCAAACTTTATCGATGATCCGACTAAATGATGGCACGACATAATCTTGAATCTTGCAATAGGATGAAATAGGTATGTTTTTGGGGGTGGCTCTCCGTAGCTCCCTATTCATTTATGGTGAGGTCATTTTGAGGTCAGAAAAAAAAAAAAAAAAACGTTCACACATCATGATGCCAGTTCAGATCCGTCCTCATCATCGTCGTCGATGCCAATGGACTTGCAAAGGTTGCTAAGCAAAGGACCACTGCCATGGACCTTGAATGTGCCAGTTGAGACAAGCAGTGGCCACGCCAGCCATGGGATCCCAAAATCACTCAATGAATCAGATTCCACCAGGGTGTGTGGGGGGGTTGGCTCCTACTATGAGGGATCCATTCCCAAAAGTTGGATGGCTTTCCAATATGATGTGCTATGGTTGCTATGGTTTGAGACAAAAAATGTGACTTAGCCCCATCGAAGCCAATGCGACAGATGCACCGTTTGCCGGTTTTGGAATTCTCATCTAGACCCAGGGTCGGGTTCCAACTTTCATGTGTAGGGCACCGACCAGCTCCAAAAACTACGGTGCCAATTCCAGATCGACATATTTAGACAGGTCAGTTTCCACACCCCGAACCACAAACTGCTATAAACCATAGATTCCATAGATGATTTCACCATTTGGGCCAGTCAAAAAAAACTCAAACCTTTGGTGGGTGATGCTTCTGATACCTTCAAAGCAGAGCTGCCATGCACGACTTTCCGGCCATCTCCAACTTGAACTGGTCCTTGGCGCTGGCGCCCAACTTAGGTCCACCAAAAAATGGATGGTGTGATGCACAAAACAACCAGAATCAATTCATGGTTTGTTAAAATGGATGGTTTGATGCACAAGTGATGCTTTGTCCAAAAAAAAATGATGCAAAAATTGATGGTGTGTTAAAAAATGTGGCGTCGTGGATTTGGGCCAAGTTGTGTCTGGGGCGACTTTGAAGATCCAGTTGGATGTCTGAAAGCTACACTGCTACCCCTGGGAAGGCCAAACAAATGCCACCGTGGTCACGTTGTTGTCCATGTGAGCCTCGAACGGTTGTTGCATCTGAGTTGATTAAGGTGACATTCCAAAACCTACTGGCTGAGAGCAAAGTCCCCTCCCTGTGTATAGTCTTTAATGTGAGAAACCTAACAATAAGCCTAGCATTTTGGTATGATTGTTACCACCGAATTATTTCGTTGTTTGTTGGGGGATGATGAAAAAAATATTGGATTTCCTACAGTTCAACACTTCAATATTCCAAAAGCAGTCAGTATACAGTAATGGATAATAGCTATAATCATCCAGAATCCCCAAAAAAAATTGACGCGGGATGCCCAGCAAAAAAAAAACAAAAACATGTCCGACATGTCCATGGCCGATTCATTGGTTGATAGTACCCTCTGGTAAACGTTTACATAACTATGGAAAATCACCACTTTTCATGGGAAATTCATAAATGGCCATTTTCAATAGCTATGTTAAATTACCAGAGGGTAGTTCCAATATAGTTTCAACATTATCTCTACCAGTGACACCGCTACCACCAACAGTACGGACGTCAGCTTGGCAGAAGAATCTGATTCAAACATATTCAAACAACATATGACTCTGAAAGTTGTGCACCCCAATATTCTACGGTGTGGTCGTGATCTTTCTCCATGAAAACAGCCACATCTTTAGGGGTGTCCCCTCTGTTTGGACAAAACCCAACTGTCATTTTCTGCTTTTATAATCCCGGCTTTAAAAAACATCCATACAAGGTATCGTAATAACATCATATATCTGCACAAAAATGGTCGATGTTTGATCCCATTTTTGAGACACTCTCGGGTTCTTGAACAGCCCAGGAGGCCATGAAATCCACGAATCCCCCCATGAAAATCTCCAGTTTTCTTGGATAAAATGACTTCAATCCCCAGTCTTTGTGTGTATTCCCAGTGGTTTATTGTAAATCCTCCAATCCTCCTACATCCAACCAAAAAAAAACACCGTTTTTTTCCATGAATACCCTCTGGTAATTTAACATAGCTATTGAAAATGGCCATAGAAATAGTGGATTTTCCCATGAAAAATGGTGATTTTCCATTGCTATGTAAACGTTTACCAGAGGGTACCCTTTAAATCCCGTTAAATCCAACAGACCCATTTTTTTGCCTCGGTCAGCAGTTTGCGGTTCTCCGCTCTGAGCAACAACAGGATGAAGCGCACCTGACCATCTGCTCCGAAGGAATCCGAAGGAATCCATGGGAAAAGCCCCAAAAGGTTGGTGATGAAGTGGCTATGGATCAATACCTATACATACCATTTTTAGGGGGATGAACATCCATAAATCCCAGCTATTTTGATGTGAACTACAGGGGTACAAGGTTTTGACACACTGCCAAGTGGTGATCATAGAACTAAGTTCTTGGATTTAGTGTGTATGTATGTATATATATACAGGGATAGAAAGATCATGTTTTTGGTGATCAAATGATGGTTGATGAATTCGTGTTTGTTAGTGGGAAATGTAGCAATTAACTGGGGATTGGCCAAGGTTATTAATTTGCTTGGGGAGAAATCTCCAGGGTTGTAATATGTTGTACTTATGCAAAGTTGGTGATGTAGCTGGCGGTGATCAGAAACTAATTTTTATGATCAATAGGTGATGCTTTAATAAATTTAAAGCAACAATGATGCAAACATTTTTGGATCATATATAGATCATATAATATAGGAAAAAATTGGTGAGATCAATCCGGAAATATGGTGATTCAATGGTGATATTCTACAAAAAACGGTGATCATCCCCACCAAAAACACGGTGGAAATACCCGCAGGCTCTGGTGACCTGCTTGACCATCAACCCTGGGTGTCTCTGAAAATGGAAAATGTCGATTTTATTGGGAAAACATGGGAAAACTCTGATCAGCCAGCGGATTTCGGTGGATGGCATGGTGTACCTTATTTCAGGTTGAAACCTGGTTGTGCTTGTTGAATCTTTTTTCATTGGAACCCGAATATTCTCAACCAACACATGGGAAATTCGGACATCTATAGATGGTTGTCCCTCAAAGAAAACTTAGTGAACAGTACCTGACTGGAGTCAGGTCGGAGTCCTATGATGTCGATTGATCTGTTTCATTCATATCATCCATGTATATTGTATATATACATACATATCATATATATATATGTTGTGTATGTATGTATATATATTATATATGTTATGTATGTATGTATATATATATATACAGGTGAATATGAATACATGTCAGTGTAAGTATGGATGTACAGTACAAATATATCTGTCCATATGTATATGTCTAGTGTTTGTCTTTCAGAAATAGCAGCCAATGTCCATTTTTCCATGTGTAACACCTTGTTACACCTTCCAGCTTGGGGTCCCTCTGGGTTTGTCTGAAAATGTTGTGTACCCCTTTTTACCCAATGGTTTTGCTAATCATTATCCCGTTTTTAAATGGCTATTTCATTGGGAATATTAACCCAACATTTTCAGACAAACCCCTCTGCCATTCTGCAAGGGCCATTCGGCCTTTGGCACATATTTCTGCACTGCCATCATCCTAATGATGTTCTCAGTATCCTGGCCACGGATGACATCATGAGACCGTCCAGGTACAGTAAAGGACGTTCTGTAAAGGAGGTACCCGGCCTGGGAATGACATACAAAAAGCTATTGAAAATGGTGATTTATAGTGGAATTACCCATTAAAAATGCTGATTTCCATAGTTATGTAAACGTTTACCAGAGGGTAATACTGTCAGTGAAGCATCTAGTTGGTCGTAGCACAGTGCTCAAATCGCCCCACCGTTTCCGAAAAAAAGGGTCCTCTTGCATCACGCTTCTACACAACAAGTTCGGGAGAATAAACCTCGCGCGATCCGAAGCCCACGGCCATTTTTTATAGGTACCCCATGGCAGAGTCTCAGAGACCTCCTCTTGGATGATACAGAAGTTGAATGTTAATTGATAGATATCTCATGATATCTCTATGTATCCCTTTTTTTATCCCACTTCCCTACATGTCCCTCTATATGTTCCAGGGATTTTTCGGACAACATCGGATACCATCCCCGCAACAGCTCGATCCGGAGAATCACCCCACCGGTTGCAGTGAAAATGGCGGGTCATCCTGTTCGTTGGAGGGTAAGTTCCATTGGAGGTTTCCCAAAATGGGGGTAGCCACAAATCATCCATTTTAGATTGGGATTTTCCAGAATAAACCATCTATTTTGGGGTACCCTCAATAAAATGGACATCCCCATATCTCCAATATGATACCCCCATAAATGGTTGATTTATCGAGAGATTTCATCCCAGTGTCTGCTGAAGAGAATCATCTATGTCAGTTGAAGGAAGGGTATAATTTCATAGAGTTTTTTTAGTAAAGCAATGTCATAAACCAGCCATCTGGTTTATATGGTTTATACTACTGTAAGATATACTAAGTTTATACCACCCATTGATGGTCAAAAAATGGGGATGACATCCTGTTGCTTCACGGACAATTTGTCGCCAACTTCGCCAAGTGCTCAGAGTGCCCCGACACGCAGGTGGCGGCACTGATGGTCACACGATTCCTGGGAGACAGACAGACCAACAGCAACAAGTGGACCGGGGCTAATGAAGAAGTAGAACCGGGGATAAGTGTTTGAATGTGCCTATGTATAATCATCATATGCATAATATATATATATACACAAGTATACACTATGCAATATAGATTCCCAGGGATTGGTTGACATGGCGAACCCCAGTTGACCAGCACGCCTTTTTTCGAAGCAATCTTCCTCCAGCACTGCGTCAGCTTCGCAACGACCATCAACCCAAAGAGCTTCTCCGGTCCTCCGTTTGCAAAGTTTGATCCCTGCTGATGTCGATCCATCTGGCGACACTCAGAACTGGAGCTTCCTGCACTTCATCACACCATCCAAAGCTGCAGGGGTAGGAAGTGGAAAGAATCCAGCCACGTCAATCTGTGCACAGCCCTTCCGCATGGCGCATCAATAACTGTAGCGGCTTACCTGCGGGCAGAAGCATCACACCCATGGTGTAGCCCGTGTGATTCCAGTAGATGTGCGTTGGGATTTTTTTTCAGAAAATTGACCAGCAAGAAGACTGGGGCCGGAGAGTTCAAAACCCACAACCATCAGACTTGTCTATTGGGATCCAGTGGGATGGTTGCCCACTTAGTGGACCTGGCATCTCTGTTCCTTCCCCACAACACCCGGACCTTCACAAGATGCACCTCGAAGATCAAATCCGAGTTGGGCGGGATCAGTTTCCTCGGTGGAATTTGCCAAAATCCCATGTGGCCCGGCCCTAGATCTGCCAAGACGCGCTAGGTGCCATGCCTTTGGAAATGGAACCAGGCTTTCAAAAGAAGCTCCTCAGAATTCTACAGAATTCCGGAATCCTTCCCCAATTTCTACAGATTTCTGTCCCCCAAAATAGATCCATACTATCCAACCCCCCATGGGCGCCGCTGGGTGCTCTCCATGGCTTCTCCGAGGCTCCCATAGCCCCGAGGCCCATAGGCCAAAGCGGACGGCACCGTCACCACCGCTTTTTCGCCCTGGGAGAGTTTCATCAAAGCCACGTCCCAGCCAGCTATGACTTGACCTCAGCGAACCGCTTCGCCATCGCTGGGATGTGATGAGTGTTGATTCCCGTGAAAAACGTCGGTAAGATGGCATAAGATGGCCAGGGTTCCTTCTATAAACCCCGTCATCATTAGATAGTATGCCTAATATTGCCTAATAGTATACCTATGGATCCCACGGGGAGATCGTTCGAGAGGACCAAGTCGCCAACTCCAACCTTGAAGGTAAATGGAATCTTTCCTCGTGACAGGAGGATCAGGGCAGGACTGGAGATCGCTTTAGGTTCACTGTTTTCCGTGTTGCACCCTACAAAACCGAGAAATGAGCATGTCACAATGGAACTTGCTCCAAGATGCCCTAGTCTTTGCCGGACAAAAATGATCTATGCTACCTTCACTGCTCCAAAACAATATGGACCCGGCTGGAAGCTAGGGTCAAAGCATCTAAAGGTAAGCATCTGGAAAAAGACCTATCTTTGAAACATGTTGAAACCAACCAATTCACCAGTCTAATTTGGGGGTGAATAAATTTTGAGCTATCACATATCGCATCTTGCACCAGGCATCGGTCGTAGGTGGAATCGAACTTGCGACCATTTGACGCCAGCTTCCCCGTGTAGTGTACAGAGATGCGGTCTCCAGACTTAGGATACGTGATGCCATCACCTCTCATGACGGTTTGCACCACCACTCCGCGACTATCCTCCAAAAAACAGGGAGAATTCTCGTAAATAGTATGTGTATGAAATACTGTATGTGTATGTATATATATATATACACTGTAATTATACATGTAACACTGTATATTTTTTTTATATATAGATATAGATAGATATGTTAAAGATTAGATATATGTCAGACATTGTGAGACATTGTGAGATTGCTTTTAAAAAATTGGCACAAACTAACATCGTTTATCTGGCTTACCTCCCCAAAAATTAATTTTTTTGGGTGGGCATGAAATATGTCCCCGTATCTCAAAAGTGTTCCAGTGTTTCAATCAAGCTACTTAATAAGTGCTTACAAAACCAGTTGTTCTTGGCTCAGGTCATCAAGATTTTCTGACCAGGTCATCCCAACTTCCCCGCGCCGTGAGAAAGCATGGCTGGTCTACCAGGGTCCCAAAAATCTGGTCCTGTTTCACCTTGATCCCCAGCAACGTGATGTCCAGGGTCAACGGCAGATCACAACTCTCCGTTTTTTCGCTGGAGATCTCCCAGAGCTCCTTTCCACCTGAAAAATCAGATCCAAATAGATGGCTCAGCATCAAATCGTGGAGATATATATCGCGGACTGCTTTGAGTGGCAGTGGTGCACAGCAGCGATGCAGTGCAGCCCCCGCCAAGGTCTCTGAGGTCTCATGCCGGGCGCGCTAGGTCGGAAGCCTTTCGGAACTTTGTCTGACCCGCGGCCGAAAGACAGCGAGAAGCCAAACTGCGCAGCATGGTTGAGTTTGTACAACATGCTAGTCCATCTGCAGGCAGTATCAAACCGGCTTCAGGCTTACGTATGCCCTTCAAAATATGGTGTTCCAAGCCTAGGATTTGGAGGCCTTTTCCAAAAACAAAACGAATCACCTGAATCAAAGCAGCAAGAGTAGGTTTCAGCAAAACCGCACTGTAAGGCTTCAAATCCCAGCGTAAAGTGCTGGTGTTCCAAAAAGGGAAGGGCAAATTGATTTCATGTATGCACCAAATGGCAATCTCTACGAAACTAACCGGTGCAAACGAGTCAGCTGATGACTCAATGTGAAAAACCACATCAAAAAGTGCACAAACAAATTCCATGGGATACTTCAACTGTACTTCCGATGAACTGAGCTGAGCATTCCAACTGATGGGCAAAGCATCTGAAAGTGCCATCGAAATGCCCAATTCTTGCCATTGAAAAGATTCACTAAGAGTCAAGCCCACTACTTCTGCCTCTGCGGTCTTAGCATCTGCAACTTGGAAGTAAAATCTCCTGAGAAGACGAAGTCGTTGAGACCAAAGGGCAAAGTGTTGCTGAGCGTTTGTCTTCAGGCGCTGATATTCCATGCTGCGAGACACATTGGCGGAGACCGCAAGGCCATCTGCTATGTCATTCCAAGTCGCCTGCCACTCCTCCTGATCTGAAGTGCAAAGGATAGCATCAAGATGTGATGGAGTCCAGCAGGCACAGAAGTTGCCTTCAGGGATATCTGCCAACAGAGCTTCGACTTGTTGCCAAAGATCATGGTTGTCACATAGAGCTCCATGTGGTACCCAACTGCCTTCTTGTATGGCCACAATGCCATCCACTGTTGACTTCGAATCACTCCAAAGGCAAACTTCAGCCTGGTACTGGATGGTCCACTTGAGCGCAGCAATAGCACCACATAGTTCAGCTCGAGGAATGCTCTGCGCTTGGCCATGCAGCTGGCCCGAGCCAATTGGTTGCCCCGTAGAGGCGTTAACTAAAGACCATGCTCCAACCCCCAACATTTTTGGGGTGTGGGGGAAAAACGAACCATCAGAAAACACATGTTGCAAACCCTCTCCTGGTATAGAGTGAAAGTTGCCAGTGGTGTCCTCCAGTGCCTGAAGATAGGCCTTCATCTCCACTTCGTAGGGGCTGCGAGGCATCAAAAGATGAGAAAGAGCGCAATCTGGTACCTCATGGATCCAGTGGAAGGGCTCCATCATCTCATCGCGGATGTGCTCAAACTTGGGGCATTCAAACCAGTGCTGCTGGGTGTTGGGCACCAAGCAGTATGAGCAAATCTGTGACTTCGAAGGGTCATACTTCGAATGGTTCCAGTCAGAAAGAAATGCACCTGATTGCAATGCCATTGTTCTGCTCAACTCCAACGGTGTCATAGTGTTGCGGTCCAAGAGTGTGAGCTCTGGGTGCAACCCGTGGAGGTCATGCATGGTTCGTCTATGCTGCACTTGCGTGGCTACTCGTTGGAGCCAAGCATCCTGCAGTAAATGTTCCAGGGCAACGTTTGGCAGCTCCAACAAGTTGTGCTCGAATCCGTCATGATCCACAAATTGGGGCGGTTTTTGAATGGACCACCCAATCTGGCTGAGAAGTTCCACCAGCTTATAGAATGGCCCTGTCCGTTTCCGCCCACAAAAATGCGCCATGAACTGTCTCCATTGCACTAAAACATCTGGAGATTTGCTGCAGATTCGCCTGAAATCAAAAGTGCAGTGCCGAAGGTGGTAAAACCCAGGGTCTGCTGTCATAGGAGCTGAAAGCGAGAGCCGGAGTAGTGGGTTTGAGCCTCCCATTCTAAGACCCAAAGCGGCAACTGCTTTCTTTCTCAATTGGTGCAAGTGGTTCTCAGCAAAAACGCAGCCCAGTGCACCATGAAGTGCTGAAGCCCAGAAAACCATTGGCAAAACCATCAGTTTTTGGGAAACTGGTGCCTTTGAAATACGAAGGCGTGCCCATTTCTGCTCAAGGCGTGAGCCTCTCTTCAAAAAGATACGAACCCTCGCTGCCGCACCAAAAGTAAGAGAGCCACCAAGCTCGGAGACATCCTCAACTACACGCAGGCCCAAAGGTCCCAACATTGCCCTTGTCTGAGGTGTGGTACCCCATGTGTATGATTTGTTGATGTCAATCTCCAATCCCCATAGCTCCAAAAAGGTGCGCAGTGAGAAGAAGGCCCAAACCAAATGCATCACCTGTCGAGACATCATAGAGATGTTGTCAACAAATGACATTGTCCTTGTCAAAGGTGCGTACTGTGATTGGTAAACATGCAGTGCCCAATCAAGTATTGCCATCGCCGGCACGCTCAAAGGATCACCTTCTGCAAATCCAACATCTGATTTCAGGGGCTCGCTCAAATGATTGTGCACTTGGAAGCGCCTGGTAAAAGATGAAAGGAAACGCTGCCAAGGTTTCAGAATTCGCTCTGGTAGTCCTAGATGCTGTGCTAGCTTGAACCATTGCGGTCTTCTGATGTTGTTGAATGCCTTGACAAAGTCCACCGCCATACCAGTCAAGGCTTGGCCCGTTTGAAGTGCCATCTCGACACTGGCCTGGATTTGTAGCCATGATTGCATGGCCTCTCTCCCCGGCAAGAAGCCGAAAGCATCTGAGTGGACAAAACTTTCTATCAGCCGCAAGAGCTGTCTGGATCGCAGTGATCCCCAACATCGGTAGATGATAGAGAAAAGCACAATGGGGCGATACGAGCCAGGCTCATGTGCATCACTGTGCTTTGCGATTGCCAGCACAAGGCCATGTTGCAGCTGAAGTGGCCAGTCCAGATCTTCAAGCTCAATTCTCATCAAAAAATGAAGCAGCCATGCTACATGTGTAGGAGACATGTGTAAAAGGTCTCTTTTGGCAAATCCATCTGCGCCCCTCGCCGCAGTTGGCTTGAATCTCTTGACAGTCCGCATCCATTGTGCCGGCGTAATGTCCGGCAACTCAAACTGAAAACTAGGCATACTGCTCTGTATGAAGCCCATGACACGACTCCAGTGTTCTGGTTCTACTTCATGTAGTTGTTGCCATCGTGGTTTCCAAAGGGCGATCAACTGATCGTGGATCTGGGCGTCCGAGCTAGTTTGGGTTGATTGTGTGATGACATCCCCAACCTCAATGTCAGGCCACATGGTAAAGACAAGAAGTTCGTCAATGTATCCGTCAACGGAAAGCCCACAACCGTTGCGATACCAGGTAGATCTTTCCATAGGCTTGATTGGTTGATCTAAAAGGACTGCGTTGGAACGTGGTCTGATAGCTAGGACTGTATAGGTCTTGACATTCCAAAGGCTATCAATTTGATCCGGTGATGGATCACGCAAGTCCTTGAAGATGGCCTGATGTGATTTGTCGTACTTCATTTGAATCAGGCGATTCTTTTGCGAAAGATGCCATCGTTCAAAAGCTCGGAAAGCATGATGGAAAGCATCATAAATCAGCTTGGCTTGTTCAGCATCTGGAGGTTGCAGTGGGAGTGGTCCCATGGCATGAACAAAGTCCTGCTGTTCCCACCAAGCTGAAAAACCCCCTTGAAAGCCCGATGCCCTCCGTATAGAGGTCCACAGTTCAGCCCTGTAGATCACTGCGTTTGTGTTCAGTTTGCCTGCCTTGATCGAGTGGCAGTAGGACTGAATTCGACGCAGTTGGCGAAACCATTGTAGAACCGCTGTTCCCACCAAGTCGTGGGTCAAGGCTACTTCACCGGGACGGCTGGCACGGCATGACACCGGTTGCAGCATTTGCTTCTGAGGTTTGAGTCTTTGGGCTCTACCTTTCTGAGAAGGCCGCAAATCACCATGTCAAAACGGTGGTTGGAGACTCATCTATGTCCAGCGTAACTGAAATGGAACTGTGGTCACTGAAGACATCCTCAATGTGAATCCCATCGCAAATTGAAAGCGCAGCTGGTGAGAGCCAGATCAAGTCTCGCTCGGTGGCTCCCTTGCATGTTGGCGCCCATTCATGGGCCCATCTTTGCATCGCAAGCTCTTGTGCAGAGAGCCATCCAGCTGCTCTCCAAAGGTGGAAGTGTTCCAGCTCAAAAGGGCTGAAGTTAAAGTCCCCACAAATTGCAACTAGGCCTGAGTGTCCGAAAACAAAAGTCTTGGTGATAAAGGCCAAGATGTCATTCATCAATGCAGCTGCTTGTGGCCAAGTAGGCCCACGGGGTAGCCCGTAGAGTGAGACCACGGTGATGTTGTGGCAACCAATTTGGTGTTGAGTTGCCAAGACTCGGCCTGAATTCCAAAGATCCACAGGCCAGTCAATCTGTAGGGGCTTGGAGCTGAAATCAGAGGTGCAGGCAACACCTGTCCATGTGCCCGCCCAATCAGAACGGCTTCTCAGTGGCGCAGGAGCTCCAAAATGGGTGCGCAACAGTCTATTGGTCTGTCGAGCAGCATGCCGCAAGGCTTTGCCCGATGAAACCTGTGTGAAAGCTGACAGCTGGGTTTCTGAGTATGTCCAGATACCCGGCCCTTGTGCCACTGCCAGTGCCTCTTTGGATCTCAGCCCTCCAGGATTTGTGCTACCAATTACCAAATGCTTGTGAGGGCCTGGATGTTGAGCCTCCCCAAAACGGTGGCCCAGGCTCCATTGATGATGTGTAGCACTTGCGAGCTGGTGCAAGTTCCATGTTTCTGCTGGTCCTTCCAGTGCCCCCGACTGACATTCGCAGTCATCCGTGGATGCTGCGCTGGGAACGTTCTGCTCAGCAAAGGGCAATTGAAAGGCCATTCCAAAAGTGAGGTGCCAAATGAAAATAAAAAGCTTGACCATATTGGGAACAAATTGTGGGCGTTGGGGTCTGCTGATCCCACATGCAGGCCTCGCCCGACATAGTCATTCATTGCGCTGCTTCTTGTTGCTGAAGAGCGCCTCCAAGCGGTCAAACCTGGAGTCCAAATCGTGTGCTACCTCATTCTTGTGGCTCTGAAGTGCATTGTGGACTGCTTGGCCAACTTGTTCAGAAACACCTTTGATTTCATGGTGTAGGCCTTGCAGTTCCGTTTGATGCGTATTCAGAGTGTACTGGATGGTCTGGATGGAAGTCTCTGCAGCTTGAACCTGCTGGCCAAGTGATGAAAACCAACCTGAGAACTGGAGTTGCTGAGCTTGCAATTCACCCAGGGAGTTCTCAATCTTGGTGAAGCGTTTCAGGTTGTCAGCCTGATGCTCGTCAATGCTGTCAGAGTCCATGTGACCACTGCCTTGCTGAAGCTCCTCAAACTTTTGTTCCATCGCTGCAGTGAGCTCATCTTTCAAGTTGCCTGCCATGGTTTGGAGGTGACTCTTGCCCGAAGCTGCTGGTTTGGCATTGGTGGCAGGCTTCCATGGGTCCATCCCTGGAAGGGACCAAGGGTCAATGGTTGAGGCTGCTGCAGATGGTGCAGAGCGCAAGTGCTGCTGCGTCCTTGCTGATGCAACAAGTGTTGGCTGTGGCACTGGTTTGTCTTCTCTTGTGAGCTCTGTGATGAGAATCTCCCTGCCAAATGCCGTGATAACTTCTTGAGGAGGTGATGTGGAGGCTCCAACCTGCCACGACATGGCTTCGGCATTGCCCTTCCCAGGCTGCAATGGTTTCACTGCCCAATCAATATCCTTGAGAAGCTTAATAACCCCTCCACGTTGAAGTCCATGTGGTAAAGGAAACAGCTGAAAGATGCGCTGGACCTGGGTGTTCACCCAAGTGGCATCAGGCTTGATCTGGCGAAATGTCTGCTCTTCATGTTCTGCTAAGACACGAATGCCGTACTTCTTCTTCATCCTGACAAGTCCAAGAGCATGAACATGTGTACGGCATGTATGGGCAGCTTCATCAAAGGATCGCGCAGAGAGCCAAATGACTCGGTAGCGCTCATCATGTCCTTTGGTCTTTGTAGATCTGGGCTCAAAGTAGATGCCAGGTGTCGCAAGTTGCAAGAGCGCATCCAAGATTGAGGCAGGAATCCTCAGAAAGACTCCAAAGATTTGTGCATCTGCGGCAGGTATCTTGCCACCCTCGAGCTTAGTGAAGCTGCGTGACCATATTTCAAGCAGGATGGTGTCCAGGTCTTCATCCACCGCAGGGTGAGATTTTGTGCAATCATGGCCACAGTCTTTGCCCTGGCATAATTGCAGACGTGGAACAGCTTGGCACAACGTTCGCACTGGTGATTGGGCCAGCTGTTGCCACGAACCAGAGAATTCATCTCGAAAAACCTGCACTTTGATGACCTGTGTGTCAACCAACGCTGGTTGCTCATGGATTCCAGGTACATGCTGGTTGATCTTGATGTCGCCCAGGTTCTTAAGGGCCCCAAAGATCAAAACTGGTTCGCCAGTACCGGTGTATTTGGCTGCGAAGGAGATTGCCCGAACATCATGTTCATCCATGAAGGCTTGTGGCGGTCGCTCAGTCAAGAGGATGGCCAAGGGTTTGGAGCTGATGGATTGCTTGGTTTGGATGAAGTGACAGCCCTGTGCCAAATTGCATATTGCTATGCCCGTGGCCTCTGCTTCAACTGCCGAAAAGGGGATCTGCTGCACCACATCGTCATCAGGATCTCGAAAACTCGTGTGAGTGAGGACAAGTTGTTCCGGATCCAGGGTGATGTTGGCTGGAGTAGCCTTGTGGGCAGGCTTCTGCTTCTTCTTCCCCTTGGCATTGGCAACATGTGCGCCAAATCTTGTAGTAGAAGTTGCTGCCACATGCTTGGAGAGTTCGTCAGGTAGAACAAGTCGCAAGGAGATCGAGGGTCTGCTCGCTATAGCCTTCAAATATGCCCAACAGTTCTTGGCTGCAAAGGCTTCTTGGATTGCTGCTACCCCCAGTTTTTGGGTGACCAACTTGGTTCGTTCTGACACTTCGGTAGCGGGTACTCCATGTTGTTGAAGCAAAGTGGTCAGTTTGGTCTGAAGCTCAGCTGGCAATCCAGGGCCTCGAGCAATGATGCAACTGGCCGGTTGGTGTGAGAGCAGCCATTGGTGAAGGGGCAGGAGGTTCCAATCAGTCTCAGGTGCAGTGAGGCGCAAGTCCAATGCCATTTGCACCAGAGCAACAGTGCCGCAGGTGGAAGGATGGGCTTGCAAAAGTCCATTGCCCATGTGGAGATCCACAAAGTCCAAATCCAGGATTCCACTCAGCTTTTTGGCTACCAGGGAAAATGTGGTGAGCTGATGACCCTGTCGAAGTCCATCATGAAGGGTCCAATAGATTCCATCTTTCAGCTCATTGCAGCACCCCACAAGGAGAAACCAATGCCCATGGTACTCACAGATGACATAGATACTGCCACTGGATCGCTGGTAACTGGCTTTCCAGGTTGAGCAGAGGTCATCTGGCAGACTGATCTGCAGAAACTGGTCTACCCGAAATGGGTAAGTAATCCAAGGCTTCAATGGGCAAGGTGACTCGTCAAGATCGGCCACCATCGCACGCATGTAGCTCCAGATGATCTTGTCGCCAAGTCCATGGCCTTCATCATGGCCACCACCAGTGATATCCTCCATGGGGAATGGCTTGGCCTGGGCACTCTTGCAAAGCGCAATCGTGTACTGAAGGTCAGTGTGTAGTAGTGCTGCAAGAGGGACTCTGCTGCCTTGATGTTTCACGACTGCAAAGTGACCCCATCCACATAGATTCTTTTCTGCCATCGCCAGATCCCGCACTGTGGTTGGCTTGTTGATGGTGACCTGCAAGACAGTCTCTTCATCTTCAACGCAGAGTGAGATGTTTCTCGGCAAATACATCTGTGGGGTGACCCATTGTCGGAAAGAATGCATCGTCAGGTATTGTTGGTAGACTTTGATGCACATTGATGGGTCAATGCCTGTCCATCCCCATGTCTGGTACTGCAAATTCGCAAGGAGATGGGACTGCAACCAAAGCACCTGAAGTGGTGCAGCAATCTGACCAAGTAAGCTCAATGCTGATCTTGGTGGCATTGGAAAAATGAAGCTTGGTGGAACTGTGCAAAGTAGTGCACCTTCTGCGGGATGTAGGTGCCGACATTTGCCAGTACAAGCTGACAAGAGGCCAAATCCACGGGCACCTCCTTGTCGAAGGCGACGATCACTGAATGCAGCTCTGCATCCACATGGACAGGGGCGATTGACATGCGCCCATGAATGCAACATGGTCGGGGCTTTGTCGCCTGGCTGCAGCACTCGTTGATCATGGCCGTAGGCCGGATCCATGTAGATTGCGACCTCACTTGCGTCCCATTCCAATTGTTGTTCTTCTTCTGGGCTCCAAATGGCATCCAATGGCATGACGTCTTGTAGTCGTTGATAGTCAGTCGTTTTTGGCCATGGTTGGATGCTAGGAGCTTGAATGTCCTGGTGGAGCATGTAGCACCAGAAACGGTTGCGCTTCACTGGCCATTGATGCTGAAGGTCAAAGACCATCTTGTGGCATGACATGGATGCATCTTGTGCATATTTGTCAATGTAGGCTTGGGTCTGTGGAAACTGGATGACGTTGTCAACGCATTCCAAGAGCACTACGTCAGCTTGGAGGTACCAGGCATATTCAAGGATGTAGTGTGGTCCATGACTACGGTGATCTTCTAGTCCATGCATGTCGCCTTGTCGTGAAAAACCTTGGCATGGAAAACCTCCAGTGATCTCTAAGAAGGCACCTTGGAGCTGCCTGTGAATCTGCTTCAGGATCTCGTCATCTTCAAGATCCCCTTGATACACAAGGCCATCAAAGTTCGCACGGAGAGCAGTGCACGCAAGCTGGTTGCGTTCAACAAACGCTTCGGTCTTCAAACCCAAAACTTGTGAACCAATTGAAAAACCTCCAATCCCACTACAGAGATCAAGGATAGACATGGATCGAAAAGCCCCTTTGTTTGGGTGTGATAGAGCTTCAGTGGAACTCACAAACTTGCAAAGATCAGTGTCCTCTTCGGCTTTCACCAAACCATAAAAGGTGTACTTGCCTTTGTCCAGATCCGGTGCGTCCACAATCTGGAAATGCTGGACAGGCGAGACACCGCAACATTGAAGGGCCCCCTGCAAGGAACCAACCACATGTGCTACCACCTTGAATTGGCAGCCTGGAGCGATACCTCTGATCAAGAGGTCCATGGGGGAAGAAACGAGCTCTCTACTTTCAGTTGTTATCAGGATCACCAGCTGGAAGGTGTAGAGCCAGATCCTAAATCGTGGAGATATATAAACCAGCAACTGTCAGGAGGCTTGGACCTCAAGCGGAAACTTTCAAGAAGATCCTGATCGTGACACGATCGCAGCTATGTGGGCCAGTTCACCCTCGTATCCACTCCTATCCTACCTTGTTTTCACATCAAAAATCACATCAAAAATCACCAAAAAAAAATGTATTCTGATATAGTTCATCCTTTCAAATGTCTGGCCATTTTTAATGCCAAATGATAATCGGACCCATGGATTTGATCCTCTCAAATTCCATGGGAAATGTCGAGGCTTTTTGAAGTTCACGCCTTCGTCAGGTTCGCCGTAGGCCAGGAGACGCTTGCTTTCACCGCACACCATGCCTTGGTGGATTAACTATCTGGTTGGTGGTTGAGCCCTACCCCTCTGAAAAATGATGGAGTTCGTCAGTTGGGATGATGACATTCCCAATATGATGGGAAAAATAAAAGTCATGTCTGAAACCACCAACCAGGTCTATAGTTAATTGGTGTTTAAACATGTTTGAAGCAACATAACTGGAGGGGTTCAACCGGGTTTGCAGATTTTCATGGGTCTCTAAACTGTGATTTCTGGAAAATCTACAGTGCCCTCTCTGGTAGTCCATAGTTTCCCGGAACATCCCTTGTTGAGTGAACGATGATGTTCCGATGACGACATGCCGAAGTTCGAAGGGATTTCCCACTGCCATCGGCGAGGCACCCAAGACGGCCGAATCCAGGGGCTCTGGCACCTCCCTGCCGCCTGCCAGGAAGCTGAGAGGATTGTCCACGTCCTTCCACACCAGGGCAGAACCATCGGTGCCTCCAGAATCGTCGGATGGTTGGCGAAAAACATGGGAGAACTAGTGATTTCACTGACCAAACCTGGGCCAACCTGGGAACTTAAACACCAAATGCTGGGATTTATCAAACTAAAAATGGGTTTTAAGCAGCTTTGGAAATTCTCTGGGCGAACTCCATACGTGGATCATAAAAATGGTTAGCTGTATATTATCAAAATCTCCCTTAGACCGTAGACCCGTGACTTTAGTGCTGTTGAACGGACTAACCCAGGCATCCCTATCCTTCCAGACCTAGCACCAGGCACCTTGCATCTGGAAGTCCACCAAGACCGAGAAACCCTTCATCACTTCCAAGTCCTGTTGGGGTTGGGCACCACAGCTTCGGGAAGCTTGGTCGTCTTCCGCAGCTGAAACTTTGGTTTTGGCCACATAAATCCTCTTTCGCAGGGAAAACCATCCTGTTTTGTTGGTTCCAACCTGCAAGAAACAGGTCTTGAAGTGGCTGTTGACTGATTTCCTGGCAGGAAATCCAGCCATCCTCATCCAACCGAAAAGAATCCAGGCCTCCTTGGGCTGCGGCTTCCTGGCCCTCAATCGGATCAGTGATGTGCTTCTTCCAGGCTCGCGCACCTTGGGTCAAGTCGATGCAGTACCTAAAACCTATCAAAACCTACTCATTCACATCGTTGATCCCTAAAAATCAGTGGGTCCATCAAGTTTCATGCTGTCATAACAGTACATGACTGGTCAAACTTGTGGATTTCTCATCATTTTTGACAAAAATGGACAAAATGGCGCCCAGAAACTCCCAAAAAGCTGCAGGGACTCAGCGCCGCCAGCGCGGCGACGCACACGCAGCGGCGGAGAACCACCATTTTTTGCAGAGAAGTTTGGACAGAAAAATTCAGGGGGCTTCCCCGGCTGACCCTCCTGGGGTTGACATGTTTTCATGGGGCCAGTTGTCCCTGTGCCTCGCCAATCCACTCCACCAAAAATTTGGACAGGGGTACTATGTACCCAAGTAGATGCTATCATCTTTGCCAACCATCCAAAGGTCGTGTTCTTCGAAAAGTCTCAAAGAAGGGGATACTTAACCAACTCGTGTTAAATCAAGACATACAAGGTGAGGCCCCATTTGATAGCTAAGTTGAGGCACATAACTTGGTTACTGCTTGGGTTCGTAGGGGATTTAACTATAGTTCATGGGTGTATAAATGTGTAAACCAACCTGTAACTGGGGAGCCTCACGGTGTTATTTGCTTTCAAACAGCATACCTGGTAGCGGGTCATGTTGCTGCCGCACCATGGCCAAGTCGAGCGTGGGTTTCTGAGCCGAAAAAGAATCTCAAAATGTGTTGCGGGTGGATTGGACAACCGGTGCTTTGATCTCGTTTCATCAACACGTTATTGTATATGTTATCCCTTCGCGATCTTCGCGCATGAATACAACGGACGCCACTCTTGGAGGAGCCCCTGGTAGTAATGTTTGAAACTGTGTGTCACCGATTATCATCATTTATCATCTGTACCACTGGATAGGATGCACCACTCACAGAACCTGAGTCCCCGGACAGGTCTTGTTCACTCAAGGCGGTGCCCTGAAAGATGTGAATCCTTGGCAGCATCTGAATGTTCTCGGGCCTCGGCTGGTGACACGACTGGAGAATGGCTGGGAAGATGCTGGGATTCCAAGATGAGAATTCCCCATCTTCAGGTAAAGGATCTTCCAAAATGTGAAATGGATTGAAATGGAGAGAAGGTTGAACTACCAAGGTATCAGAATAATCAGCCTGGTGCTTGAAAGGGGTCTGCCTTGCAATTGGATTTGTCCCCAATTTCCAGGGTGAAGTCGAACACACGAAACTAGAGAGCATTTCAACATCACACATCACCCTTGCGACAAACAAGCATCGAAAATCCGTCAAGAGATCAAGGTTTCCAGCTTGAAAAAGCTAGAAATCCATAGAAATCCATCCATCTGCCGTCCAAAGATGCAAGATTTCCATCTCGTCCTTGACGTTTTCCCCTCCCAGCCAGCTGTAGCACCCAGCTGTCGCAACCAATCGGTCACGAGGTCCATTCCCACGTGGCCAGGACTCAAGATGACCTCAGCTGGTCCCTCCGGTCCCGAGCCATGGAGCTTTGAGTGGGAGAAAAGCCATCTTTTGAAAAATGGGTGATGTGAGGAAAAGAGATCTTGGATTCTTGCAGATCTCTGAATATTCTGGAGGTTTCTGGAGGTTTCCTGCAGATGTTCCCAGCAATTCTGGGACTTGATGCAACAACCATCTGGACATCAAAACCTGTTCTGTCGACATGACAATGGATCCAGCCAACAAGAATTTTTCCTAAAGATGACAATGACGATGGATCTCAGAAGAACTCATGAACTGGGACAAGAATGGATCAAAGAACACCTTTTCAGACTAAGTATACCCTCTGGTAATTTAACATAGCTATTGAAAATGGCCATTTATAGTGAGTTTTCCCATGAAAAATGGTGATTTTCCATTGCCATGTTAGTTCACCAGAGGGTATATATATATATATATTCCACTGCAGTTGTCAATTGTTATCCTGGAAGAACCTGGCCAAGATGTTTGCCAGACTCTGTGGGATGAAAACGGGAACCAGCTTTTGGCGAGAAATCGGCGATTTTGCAAGATCCGTGTGCGCTTATATGTGGGAAATATAATTGCAATTGTATTTGAAAAAGGATATTTGTGGAGTCAAGTTTCAGATTTTGTATGTAATTCTCCAGAAACTCCGAAACTTGACTCCACAAATATGGTGGGAAAGCGTATTGCACGATGACAAAAATGGGCTCACTGGAAGTTCTTCCAAACTGTTTGACCTTGCCATTCTCAGGGAGCTTTTAGTCCAAACGGCCGACACATGAAGATCATCAGCATCTTCTGCGTGGTCTGGATGAAAAATTTCGGCCAAGAAATTCCTGCAGGGCTTTCTAAAAATTTGTCCCCCCCTGCATCTCAATCACAGCCAGCTAAATTTCACTGCAATCTTAGAAACATGTGCCCCCCTTTTTTTCCGGGTAAGCTCTGGCAGGCTCCGACCTATTGGGAAACATTGTCCACTCAGACCCTCGCAAGTGGAGAAGCTGAAACTGTCAACCACTGGGGGAAGTGGCTAGCCATATCATTTTGGATAGTCCTAGAAGGTTTAGCCTTGAGTACAGTAACAAGCAACTAGAGTCAGAGGTAAGGTCTTGGTCAAGCCCGTCAAGCCCCCAAATTCAACCTGGAATCCTGCAACAAGGCCCGTGTTTGGTCTGAAACCACGTGATTTTGGTCTGAAACCCTCCACCCTGCAGGTCCTGAGCATGAGCCCAGTAGGATTGCCGATGACCACAATGTACCTCAGCACCACACGCTGAAATGATTGAAATGATCCCTTCGGCATAGAAAAAAATGATTCTCGGAAATGGAGATAAGACCCCTCAGCTGTTGATTTGGAGGGTACCATTTATTCGTAGTTGCCGATCCTCAACCACGATTTATCAAACTAGGGTTGACGTTGATTCTAGTTTTAGAATGTTATGTGTGTATATATATATATATATGAACATCCCCTGGTGCTTGGACTTATTCATTTGGAGTCCCATTAGTTTGGATTATTATTCTGACATTGGGTATGGTGACATCGTTGCCTGAGGTCGTCATAATAATTCATGCAAATCTATAGATACTACAGATATGTATCTTTATGTGATTTTATGTGTATGTATATATATATATACACACATCAGTGTGTTACAATCATTCCTTTTCCAACCAGCTATGTATATTTGCATGCACGATAATACATATAAACATATATAGATGTATATAGATGTAATCTGTATGTACATATTGGGTGATTCGACACTAATATCATTGAAACGTTGCCAGTACCAGTAGGACGATTCTCGCAAAAATCTCAGCCAAGCCACTTGCTATGCAGGATAGGCTCAAAGAAGCCGCCGCCCGTTTGGTTCACGGCCAAAATCTGAGAGTTCCATGGAGTCCCATCGGGGCTTTCTGGAAAACTCAGGGATCTTCAAGTCACCATGGGTTTCAATACTAAGATGGTCCAATGACTTGGATGATTTGGAGGTCTATTACCCTATGACTTAGGAAACCTCCATGTAGCTTCTGGGTGAACTGCATGGGATCTGGTTTGGTGTGGACTTGTCACTCATCTTGCAGATGGTCTTCTCAAAACATGTGAATAGATATTTCCTTGAATGTTCGTGGATTCTCAGCTCTAGGTCTAGGTGCTTCCAAACTCCACACTCCTGATTTCTCCCACCGGATCGATTTTGGTGGATCTCGGAGTGGGGTCCCAAGAAGTGTTTGGGAAATCCTCCCGCCCTAAGATAATCCTTAAAAAAGAGGGGCAAATTTGGGGAAATCCATCAGTCCATCAGATCTCCAAAACACACCTGAAGGCTCCGGTACGCCACCGTGGCCAGCCATGCAAGGCCAAAGTAGATGGCGAAGATGGTGCTTATTCGACCCACACCTCGGCTATCCCTTGGATTCTTTTCACTTCGCTAAGATATCTATTAAGATCCATCGAGAGATGGCATTCATGGGGATTGACCAGCACTATAACAACTAAGTTACTATGACCATCTATAACCTATAACTTATAACTACTAAGACTTCACTAAGACTCAAAACTTGCCTCGGATGGCCCAGTCCATGACAGCTCGCCACTCAGCATCCTGACTGGTCACGGGCGCCATGTCGCCAAAGCCCACAGTAGCCACGCCTGGCTGGTGGTTGGTGGCTTCGGTTTACTGAGTTTGCGATTCTTGGATGTTTTTGAGTGTTGCGATTGTTGCGATTGTTGCCATACCTTCTCCTGCCTCCCTCTCCTTCTCTTTCTCTTTCTGATTGGTTGGCTATGCCGCCAGAGGAGGTTGAACACTGGTGTTCACTGCAGAAACCAGGAAATCAGGCTGGTCATAACTTCTGTCTGGTGGCTGGTGAGGATAAAGTACACCGAGGACACAGTGTTCCACTTCTCCTGACGCCCAGCCACCAAGGTATCACTAATAATCGGCCACTAGACATCCAGGCCATCATCTATGCTGGTTGGTGGTATACCTACCCCTCTGAAAATATGAAAGTCAGTTGGGATGACAATATATGGAAAAATAAAAAATGTTCCAAAGCACCAACCAGTACAAAAAGGCTAGGGAGGTCCCATGACGATAGTCTCAGGACTGTGGCTTTCCAAAGGGAACAACACCTGACTTTCACAGCTCAGCCCCAGTGCGCTCCTGGGAAAAGGATTGGAAGATTGCCGGCTCTCCAAGATTCTCCTGATCAAACCCCAGGCCGCTGTGGTGGAGGAATCAAGAAGTTCTAGGTCAAGTGAACTGATCACTGGTATAGATTCAAGAGTCAACAAGCTAGATCGAAAATCGAAAATCTATCATAACAAGCTAGATGACCAATTTATTGATACCCTCTGGTGAACTAACATAGCAATGGAAAATGGCTATTTATAGTGGATTTTCCCATTAAGAATGGTGATTTTCTGGATGGGAAAAAAATCGTGAATCAACTCCCAAGGTTTTGTTGTACCGAGAGACAAAGCTGAGCATCGCCATGGCCAAGAGATAGACCTGGTCAACTGGCCATGCAGAACACCATGGCCAAGTGATGGGATTCTTTTCTGGGAGAAATCCATCGAAATCCCCAGTTTTGAAGAGTTTCCGTGAAAAGTCGCTTTCATTTTTTTCAAGGAGAATGATCTGATGATCATTGAAAATGATCTGAAATGGGATTTCTTGATACATCCGATGCATCCAATACATCTCGGGCTCTGCAGCTCACCTTGAACGCTGTGGAGACGATCGCATCGATGAGTTGATTCCGGAAGATCTGCGGGGAAAAGATGGCTGGGAGCGAACCCAAGGGTTGACAAGTTGCAGCTTTAGGTTTGTGAAAAGAGACGTAAATTTAAAAAATGGGGCATGTACCCTTGCCATTTACTAGATGTTACTAGATGTTACAACCGATTTACCGCTGATTAGATACATCGCTTCATCCATGACGTCAATCCCCTCATGTCTGCTGATCCGTGGCATTTTGAGTCACCAAAAAAAACCGTCGTCAGAATGGCCATCCTTGGAAATACCAATGGGATCAATGCCCAGTTGCAAGAGTTGCAAGGACATGTTCATCTTCATCTCTTATCCTTTGTTATCCTTTGTTACCCATGTGTAAATACCATGTGCTATCCACATGTTGTTCCATTTGATATCCATTGTTTATCTCCAGCTTTCAGTGGCTCAACATCCCGGGGATATCAAAGGGCGTTGCCACCTCCATGTTGATCTTGTACGCTCTGAGGAGCTTCCCCCAGGTCCGTAGCAGGTGGAAAGCCTCGCTGCAATGATGGAACTTGACCGCTGCTTTTAGGTAGGATTATCTTTTTGTGGGTTGCCATGTATATGACGGTTTGTCAAAATGTCTGTTCCCGGTTTTGTTGATAAATCGCAATTCCATGCGTGCCGCCTCATGTTTGCCTTTAAAAAACATGACCTACCTTGATGACGTGAAAACGTGGAAATTCTTCGTTACCTTTGGAAATCTTTCTAAAACCACAGGAATCGGCTAACGCACGTCGGTTTTCATTCGCTGTCGCTGGTACTATCTCCTGAACTGTGTGTCTCTGTGTGTGTGCCTCTCTGAATGCAATATGCTTCTTGACATGCCTCCTGATCAACGCTGTTTCCTTACTGTAAGCTACCAAAGCGTGAACATGGCTGTGCCTCTGAATGGGCTGCGGGTGGACCGGGGCATGTATTTGCAATTTTCGCTAGCGCGTTGCTAGCGGCGATCTAGCGCGTAAAATACGTAAAAAAATCGAAAATTTGGGAATATGTGGAAACTGACAGACTTGTAAGAAAAGCTGGCAAGACATTCACGACATGGAGGCCATGGCTGTCAATCAAACCTAGCGCAAACCTAGCGGGTTTGCTAGCGCTGCCTTGCAGAATTGCTGAATTTAGTTGCGTGCCGCCTCATAACGAAGAGGAAAAAACAGTAGACCCAGATGAATTATCAACAACCAATACTAAACTTCTAAACAACTATTTTTGACAAATGGTCATATATGTGGTATGGATATATTTGTATATATATATATATACAATATACAATATATATATATATAGTTTTATGTGGTTCTAATGTTTTTGTATTTATGAGTACTGATGGGGATATCCCATGCATACCCATGTGAAGCTTCATTATCCAAAATTCTTTCGAAAAGAACTCAGATCTACATGTTATCGACCTACCAGCAGAGACAACACAATTTTACCACATGACTCACATGCTAATGGTCACCCTACAAAAGTCGCAACAAGTCGCTATAAGCCTTGTAAATTTAGGTGCCCGGTAAATTTGGGATGCTTGTGACCCCACTTTTTGATGAGAAAATCAGCCAACCGCATTTTGCTGGTGGCCCCCACGGCCAACCATGAGGGCGCGAACCACGTCTTCTTCCCCTGCGAAGTTCCGGGTAAATCCGGCCGTCGATCTCCACGAAGATGATGTTGCTATCATAAATGGATGGCCATGTCTCAAGAAGTTCAGCACTGTTTAGGAAATCATATGTCCCATGAAAGGATGGCCATATAGTAAAGTAGAGCCACCCAATTTTGAGACAAGCTCTTCGACATCACCAAAATTCATGGCTGTTACAGTGTCTGGCAAATGAAAAACAGAGGGAAAGCATCTAGTCTATTCTATAGATGGGCAAATTTCCGTTGCCAAGTGGGATTACTAGAGGGTAATGTACACTTCTCATGTGAAACCAGGATAAACCAGGAATGTACCTGATGCAGCAGGGTTTCAGATGTGCATGAATCCAGTTTCACCCGGATGAATCAAGACAAACCATGTGTTGAAGTACCCAAAACTGTCAACAAAAGGCAGGTACAACGGTACAACCATATGTCATGAGACCAAAAAAATATCATATTCAATCTAGGTAGCAAGTTTCTGTATGCCCAGGTCTTGATTTATACTAGAATCTATGGTCAAGGGCGCTCGCCCGCCTCATGTTCTGTCACTGGCAGGCTTGCAATAGCACCTGCGGAATTGCTGGACTTATCAAGGCAGACAACGAACATCATCAAACTCACCAGCTAGCAGCTAGCATCCTGACCCTACGTACAGGTGACAACAGCCTTCGCAAGTCAGGAGAGTGGCGAACAACAGGTCAAAAAAAAAAACGAACAACAACACACACCGCAGACAAAATCCGTTTAAATCCCTCAAAATTAAACCTCGTTGGGCCACAAAAACAGGGCCACTAGGTGCAGAAACAGGCTCCCACCAACAGGCCTATCATCAATGCATCTGGAATGGCTCGATCCATAAACCTCGGGGGTTGGATCCCATCTGACCATGTTCCGGGACCAAATAAGAAAAAGAAACTGGGGGGAGGAACCCTCTGGAAAACGTTTACATAACTATGGCGAATCACCATGTTTAATGGGAAAACTCACTATTTCTATGGTCATTTTCAATAGCTATGTTAGTCATTACCAGAGGGTAACCCAATGGAAATTTTGAGACCTACCCATTTATGTCACCAAACTTATCCTCCGTACATGGAGATCCATCGGCAAATTTTCTGAAAGGCCGCGGCCAGGCGAAGCAGCTTAGTTGACTAGGGATGGAAAATCAAGGCCTCCTGGTCAAGGGACTTCCCCAATTACCAACTGGCATGCACATACACAAGTAACTTGATATCTTTCCGTAAGCACTTATAAACAGATGTTGTTTTTACCTGCTAGCTGCTTGGACCAGTTCCTACTAATCCTACCCTGCAACAATGAACCCGTTACTAAACCGTAATTTCTAATTGGTGCGAACGGATTCTGTTGCACCTTCTCTAGCTGTAAATATCAAACATTATCAAACTATTTTCTGGTTGATATCCATGTTTGACAGGTTTACGCACCCATCAATACCGGTTGACAATATCCAACAAGAACCAATTTATGGTCTAGTGACTTAGTCGGGTATTGGCTGTCCATCAGTGGGTAGTTTGTGGTCTTATTGAACCCGTTTGTTCAATACCCATTGCCTCTTCAAAAAAAAATCACACTGGTATTCAAAACGCACCAATTGCAGATTTTTGTTAGATCATGTTCCTCGGCAACGATGGGGTTTCAACCATATCTATGTAGGTCCAAAAAATAGGATACCTCCCAAGTTTCGCAATAAAAATCATTGGGGGTACCCACCATGTTCAAAAAAAAAAATATGTTGAGTTCAAACGCCCCTGAGGACCCTCACATCCATGCGACGCCTGAAACGATGCCTTCACAGTGGGCAAAGCCCCAATAGGGCAACATCAGGCCTGGGCCGGCTGGACCAAGAATTCCAAGGAGGGCGTGGATTGACGTTCTTTTTGTGTCTTCATGACATACTAAAACCAATTGATGCTATTGCGATATAATGCTATGTGTAGATATAATTCTATGTATATCTATATATATAGTATAGATATATAGTGTATATATATATATATATGGTATAGATATACACATTATACACATAACAATCAAAATGGACCATGGAGAATTGGGAAGGATCCAATGTCTTCCAGCCATCCCAAGCGACCAAGGCGTCCAAGGCGCAGAGGCAGAAGAGCGCAGAAATCGCCTCCAAGACAAAGCCCACCATGCTCAGGGAGGCCGTGTACCTCGTGGAACAATTCATCATATCTATAGTCTATATATATAATATATATAATATATAATATATATATTATATATATATAATATATATAATATATATATAATATATAATATATATATAATATATATATATATATAATATATATATAATATATATATAATATAATATATATATATACAATATATATATATAATATATAATATATATATATAATATAATATATATATATATATTCATATGTGTATATAGTATTAAATTAGTATTATTGGAAGTTGTGTGTATACTTGTTGAGCATGGGTGCAAGAAGTATATGTATAAGTATGTATATATATATATATACACACGTATGTACATATATATATATACATGTTTAATGTATATACAGCCATTTCCTTTAGACCATCTAAGGCCCCCACGTGCGGACGCAAAAATGGATGCATTGGATACTCGCCAAGGCAAAGTCCAAGACTAAGAAGAACTTGGAGGTGTTGAGCCTCTCATTACGACACGTCACGAAAAAAAGCTGCTGGCTGTGGACTCCCTCGACATCACGATGATGGGGGGCCAGTGTTGGACCGTTTTCTGGGACTGCGATTTTGGTGATGTTTCGTGTAATCATTTTATATAATACCATCCGGTAATCAAACATGGCAATGGAAAACCCATGACTGTAGATGATTTTCCTACTAAAACCTCGATCTACTGGGGGTTTCCCAGCTAGCGACCTTTGATTACCAAAGGGTAATTTTTCACTGTCTGGATTTCAGGGTAGGAAAGCTCTTACGGGAGTGATAGTAATGTTGAACCACCGAACAATGATTCCTCCGGATTGATTGGTTCACCCTGTTGCCGGACTTTTGCAGGATGGGACTCTGCCGATTCAACCATGTTTCTCATCTGCATGTAGCCGACAATGCTGCCCGGTTTTTATTTTAAACGAGGCAACTACAGTAAAAGGAATGCTGGCATGATTTTTGAAGTTCGAAGACGGTGAGAAAGTGGATATACGATTGAAATGTCATGCCCTGGGAACCACAAATTCGGGTCATGTTTGGTTATCAGCTATCAAATTGACCCTATCAAATAACCATGTCTGTTGATACAAGTTCATTTCTCCCAGTGATCAAAGTGATTCCACACCATTTACTCGCCATTTACCAAATTTCCAACCAAGTTTTATCTTTAAGAAAAACTGTATATTATCGTGGTCTGACATTTGTTTAGCATTTGCCTGCTCAAATGCCATGACAAAAATACATTGAAATCCCATGGTTCCCTGTTCGTATATCCCCAACGATGTCCCCACTCTATCCCCACTCTATCTCCATCTATATAGGTTTGGCCGAAAAAACGGTACCCTCAAAATTGATAGTTGATTATCATGCTTACTCTTAGATGGTTGTACACTGGGGATATGCTAGCCATTTTCACACATACCCACATCATACATTGTTGCTAAAGTTATATATTCCATTCTATTCCCGTTATCCTTGTTTATTCCATATTTCCGTGTATATATATATATATACATATACATACACATATACATACATATATATATATATATATACATATATATACATACACATATACACATACATACACATATACATACATATATATATATATCCACAATATATCTTTGTTGTATCCCTAGAAAGATTGAGCCATCAACCACGTGCCACCAGCCGCATCAAATGGTCATCAAATGGTTCGTGGTGAAAAATCCCCATGGATTGGTTGCTTTATATTTCACCATGAAGACCATCAACCAACTCTATATATACACATACATTTATACGTGTATGTACATATATGTATGTATGTATGTATGTATGTATGTATGTATGTATGTATGTATGTATGTATGTATGTATGTATGTATGTATGTATGTATGTATGTATGTATGTATGTATGTATGATGTATGTATGTATGTATGTATGTATGTATGTATGTATGTATGTATGTATGTATGTATGTATGTATGTATGTATGTATGTATGTATGTATGTATGTATGTATGTATGTATGTATGTATGTATGTATGTATGTATGTATGTATGTATGTAGTATGTATGTATGTATGTATGTATGTATGTATGTATGTATGTATGTATGTATGTATGTATGTATGTATGTATGTATGTATGTATGTATGTATGTATGTATGATTGTATGAATGTATGTATGTATGTATGTATGTATATATATATATATATCCCTTAATGTCATAGTTGTTGGCTGAAACTCCCGCATGTATCATACATATACAACATATGCATAGTCCAACTTATGTACACGTAAACATCCCCATACTTGTTGGCGTGAAAAAGGATTGAAGAACTAGCATAACCATCAACCAACTCCCTCTATATATATATACATACATACTGTATAATATATATATTTAGCTTTCCATGTCCCATCAAAAATCACCATATTTTTTGGTTCAAATCGCCATCTCCCCATCGTTCCCCGCCTCAAACAGGTCAGCTCCAGGTGCATCCGCCAGCTGTCCACATTGGAGGTGGCTGCAGTGATGGATAGCGCCAAGCCCAGGGCGAAGAAACCGCCCCAGCAGCCGCCCCCTGGGTTTTCCGTTCCCCTTGGATGATATGCCATGAATGTAACTGGGGATATAATCTCCATATATGGATGTTTCCCAAAATGGGGGTACCCCAATAGTTTGGATGGTTTCTTGAAAATTGATTTTTCCCAATCTAAAAATGGATGATTACCTGGGGGTACCCCTATGACGAAACGGAAACCTCCAGTTTTTTCTAGGGTAAAATAGCTCTATTTTTTGTGGTTACTATCTGCTTACCATAAAAGGATCATCCCATGACTGCAGTGGTTAGTAAATGGGATGACCCTCCAACTATGTGACGTTCATCCCCCAAAAAAAGAAGCGTTCTTCGAGTGATATCTGACATATATTCTGACATTCTATCAGGCATTCTATCTGGAATTCTATCTGACATATTCTGACATTCTATCTGGCATTTTATCTGACATATTTTCTGATATTCTATCTGGCCTCCTATCTTACATTTGATCTGGCAGATATTCTGGCATTCTATCTGGCATCTATTCTGGCCTTTTTCGTGACACATATTCTGATCTGACATTCTATCTGCAATGCTTTCTGGCATGCATTCTGACATTCTATATGTTCGGGTCCAGGCGTGCTCTACTGCATCCGGAGTGAGTGAGGGAGTGAGGCAAGCACACCTTTCTTAAAATCTAAAGACCCTCACCTGGTTGGGAAAGCAGATGTTGATGGGGTTGAATGGGTGATTATATATTTGTGTATATATATATATTGATATGTTTCTATTTATTTATCTACTTATTTATTTATGTATTGATTTTATCTATTCAGATATATATCTATATCATATCATATATATATATACACTTCTTTATTTATATATTTATTTATTTAAACATATATTTATATATGTCTATCTATTTATTTATTGATTTAGTTATTTATTTATGCATGTATTTATCTATGTATAGATATGTTTACTGGACTTTTGTGAGTTATTCTTTAAAGTATTGAACGGCACCGTAGAATAATTATATATATATATTGAGGTTGTGCTGAACATGGACCAAACCCACTCACCCAAAAAGAGTCTTATCTGCTGGGGGACATTGATTTGCCCAGAAATGTGGTACAGTAATAATATATATATATATTCTAAATTTGCTATTCAAAAGGGGAATAAACCTGAATTAAGGCCGAATTGCTGGAAGAAAAGTGCACCCACCCGTTCCACAGACAAAAAAAGGTACCTGAACCATTGTCGTTTTGGGATATTTACCCCTGGCAACCATCATTCCAGTGACTTTTCTCAGTGATGTACCTCCAAATCCAAAGGTATCAGATTATCATACCCCATTATACCACCATGTTTGTTGGCAATATCCCTTTCCTTGTTGGTTTCCTCCAATTATTTCCCAGCATGTCTGGACATCTTAATCCCAGGAATAGGAAAAAAAAGCTGCAAGAAACACTGAGATATTTGGAGGCATAAACCAGCCTGTTTCTAGTGAAGATGTTCCCATAAAATAAATATCCATTGAATATCAACTGTTGGCTAGCTAGCTATCTATCTATCTATCTGTCGATCTCTCTCTCTATCTATCTATCTATCTATCTATCTATCTATCTATCTATCTATCTATCTATCTATCTATCTATCTATCTATCTCTCCATCTATCTATCTATCTATCTATCTATCTATCTATCTATCTATCTATCTATCTATCTATCTATCTATCTATCTATCTATCTATCTATCTATCTATCTATCTATATACACACACACATCCCGCACAATGTATGTATATATATATATGTATGTATGTATGTATATATATATATATATCTCCCCATCATATCCCCTTAAATCACATATCACCCCTAAGGCTTGGCGCTAGGCCGCCGCACCAAAGGTCAGCTGTTGCACTTCGAAACCCCACGCAATCCCCGCGCAGTCATTGCCGCACACCAGCGCCTTGGCCAATCCCATCGATGGGGACATAACATGGAAAGACCTGAAAGGGTGTGTGTGTGTGTGCTATGTATATGTATATCTATATACATGTGTATACATATATATATATACACACATATGCGACTATGGGATACACATGTTTTTTGCGGAATGATAATGAAAGTGACACATATTAGAACAATTTGCCAACCTGATATTATTAATTGGAAAGCAACCTTTGGGGTGTTTCCCCCGTACGAACTATCCAGAATTCTGGGTCCATGTTGTATACCTAGAGCCGCAGCCACCTACAAATTGGCTTCTAGGGTGCAACATCCATAAAGATTCCTATGATGACCATTGCTTTTGAGGATGGCGACAATGGGTTCCAATAGAAAGGGGATGACCCATGATACGTTGTGGGTTGCGACTGAGTCTGGTTTGCTGACCACAATTGTTTCTTCAAGTAACCTACAAATCACAAAACAGGGTTCCTTAGGTATCTTCCATGTGCATAAGTCTTTGGGGGGTTCACGTTCACCACTGTTGAACCCCAAATTTACTATTTCAGGTGATGGCTGCATTCAAAACAGGGGGGAAATATAGGTCTCTCCTGCTTTGAGACAAGGCTCCGCCATCCAACCATATTAGCTCGGCATGAAAAACCGGCCGTGTCGTGAACCTGTGGAGGTTCTAAACCGGGCACCTGTCTTTGAGTGCCATAGTTGGATGTGTTCTGTGGCTGGGGCTTGGGAAATATCGACGTTGGAGGATTGTTTTCTGCTGTCTTTCATGGCAAAGAATTTTGAGTTCCATTTGGCAAAAGTTGCTTTTGGGGAAGTTCTTGCATGTGATTCTCTTCTGCACATTTATGTGAAACCAAATCCTTAACTCGAACCATGCAGCGCGGAGGGATGGGACACATCATGTTTGGTGGTTTTCCCAGACACAAAGAAATCACCATGGATGGACATATAGAACCTGCTAGGTCATAAATGTTGGCAAAAGGTTCCAGAAAAATACTGCGTGCGCAGTGCACGATGCCAAATATCTTCGCAGGACACTCTTCTTGGCAGAGGGCCCCGAAGTTTGTCGGTCAACCCCGGTTGAATCCCAGAAATATATATCTGGTTGGTGGTATACCTACCCCTCTGAAAAATATGAAAGTCAATGGGAAGGATTATCCCATATATTATGGAAAATAAAAAATGTTCCAAACCACCAACCAGATATATATATATATGTTGCTGAGTTGCCCTTGCGCCCTCTTTTTCTGCATATCTCGATGAGACTTGCTCTGAAAGACTGGCGATCGCACCACTTTTCTACTTCGGATTTTTTGGGTGGCTGAATCCACCATGGTTTGGTTGGACACAGTCAAAATCTAACTCGTGTATAGATATACTGTGTATATATATATATATATATGATTTGGGTGTGTCCAAAAATAGAGGAGATACCCCAATTGATGGCCATTTGAAAAGAAAACGATGATTCGAAGCCTTAGATTTTAAGCGGTGCCCTATTTTCAGACAAACCCATATTTTCCTCATCGTGGAGTGTCGATAAAAAATCCTATCAAAGAACCCAAGTCTAAGATCATCTGCAACAATAGATAGGTCACCTATGAATTAAAGATCATCTGCAGACTATCATCATCAAACCCATTCTTGAGATTCCTGACATGATTCTTTTCCTATGAATTCATAGTTCATCTCAAGCCAACCTTATCGAGTACGGTCACCAACAACTTCGATTCCTTTCTGAAAGGGCCGACTACGACCGGTCTTTCCTAAGATCCAACTGGGAGTAACTCGTCGAAGGAAGTTTAGAAGTCAAACCTCCGACAATATGGAGAGATGAAAAGCAGAGCAGGGCAGAGGCACAGAGAAGAGGAAGATTAGAAGAGAGAGGATCAGAAGAGAAAGAGTAAGAGGAAAGACGCTACAGATGCGCGAAAAGGTAGGAAAGTCGCGAAACACTGTGTTTTTCCAATGATTTGTGGCTCCGGAGGGTCGAAAAGTAGGCTCGCTAAAGCGGCGGGTGCGGAGCCAGCTGGCCACAGGAGCGATGCAAAATTGCACGCCGTTGTGGCGCGAAGCACATTTCCAAGTCAAAATGTACAAAACCCCAGGGGTTCGGACCACTTTTGGAAGTTGAGATGTCGAAAAAGTGCACGCCGTTGTGGCGCGAAGCACATTTCCAAGTCAAAATGTACAAAACACCTCAGTGTCGGACGACTTTTGGAAGTTGAGATGTCGAAAAGGGCACGCCGTTGTGGCGCGAAGCACATTTGGAAGTCAAAATGTTAAAGACACTAGGGGTTCGGACCACTTTTGGCAGTTGAGATGTCGAAAAAGTGCACGCCGTTGTGGCGCGAAGCACATTTGGAAGTCAAAA